GATTTATGCTCGCGTAATTGTTGGTTTAAACGCTTTTGCACAGTGTCCCGCTCGGTGTAGAGGAGGCATGGGGAGGGACGGGCTTCGGGCTGCAGAGCTACGATATGACGCCCCGGTGAAATATGAAGCATGTCCAGGGTTGCCAAGCTCTGCTAAAGTTTTTCAGATGGAGTTTTGTAAGCACAACATAATAATACCCCACAAAACTAATAGAAGAATAATAACAGTATAGCCTTTTATATTTTTTGTTTGAAAACTAAATTCCAGAGCTTATATTCCTTTACATAATAGTAATAATGTAATGATTTCATTGAATTCTCAGAGAAACTCGATTGATTTTTTATTTTCAAAAATCGAAGTTACCAATGATAGCCCCCCAGTCACACTTGGCAACCCTAATCAGCGTCTATCTCGGCCGTAAACATATATATCCAAAGTGCTGGCCTTAAATTTCAGCTTCGGCGTCGGCTTCTCACGTCACACCCCCGGGACCACCTTGCAGCTGCCGCATTCGCTTATTTTCGTTCGTTTGTCATCATTTTTTCAATAAATTTCAATTTCCAGGTTGCAGCAGGCCCCCGTGGACGAGGGACCTGCGAGGAAGTGGAGGAGGGGAAAGGGAAGGGGAGCCCGTATCGTATCCTTTGTCCACGGCGACCGCCTGTGAAATCCGAAGTGTAAAATTGATTTAAATGGCTCGTGAGTGAAGGAGATAATTTTCAGTTGTCAGATGCTTGTAATATTTATGTGGCAGCGATTATTATCCCGTCGCACCGCGTCCCTTGGATCCTCGGGTCCGTCGGCCCCGAGATCGTTTAATGTTACCTACGCGTGAAAATTACTTACTTGTCCGGGCACTGCCCCTTCCCACCTTTCCACCTGGCCAGGCACCCGAGGCAACGCTTAACTCATTTTTAATATGAATAATTGTGGCAAATTACAAGGCAATTGCATGTGCCCGGGGCCTCCACCACGGCGACAGCGAGCAGCGGTGAATGTAAGTCCGTAATTGAATTGGCGGCCAATTATCGGAAGGCGAATGTACGGGCCACAGGCTCTGTATGAGACGCGTGAGAGAACTTTTAAATTTCCGGTCTACTATTGGTGAAATTACTATGCAATAGTTAGTGTTTGGTGTGAGTTTACATACAGGAATGAGATTAATTTACACGATCTGCTCAGGATGATGTGAGATGGTTGTGGCGTTTCAGGTTTAACAAGTTGGCTATATTTTCCTGGATTTTTCTTCAAGATTAAGACATTGCAAAAGTTGAGTTCAAATGACTTCAGTATCTTATATTAATAGATATGTTATCACACAACATTTTAGCATTTTTAAGTAAAAGACTTTAAAGTTCTAAACAAAAACAAAATGGGAAAAGTTAAGCTTAGTTTACTAAAGATCACATTTTCATTTTATGCAAAATGTGCAAAATTTTTACACACTTTAGACTTCTGCTTTTTTTTTACAAACTTTACAACTTCAAAAATCAATTCTTGATTGTTATTTACTTTAAATACTTCCTTTGACAATCGTTTAAATTGGAAAGAGATCCACATTTAAACGCTGTATTTGTGGTTATGAAGTTACGATTTTTGTTCAGGTGTTTTACAAACTCAAACATTTTAATTAAATAATTCCAAGCTAGTGGACACGTTTAGTTTTCCCCATCCTAAAACATACATTTCCGAATATTATTTAAATTGAACATCATCTTCACTAATTTCTGATTGACCAAGCAAATGAACGCCTGATCCCAAAGCACTTAAAGCTAATTACCCACACGTTCCACAAAAGGGGTTCATTCACGCGGCGTCCAGATTTATGGCGCAAAATTAATAATAATTTCAACCGAATTAATAATGGCCAATGAAGGCTGCTTTATGGCCAGTTCCCAATGATTAACAATGTGCGCACGTTTCGAAATGGAGAACCATAAAGTCCAACACGATTTGGCTGTTTGTTTACCATTTCTAATAAGCTGCAACAGTGCCTCATAATGCGTCTGCCCAGGCGCCTGGAGGGCCATTGGCACCGGCGGGAGGTTGTAGGTTGGAGGTTGGGAGGCCTTCAGTTGGAGTCGGAGGATCGTTGTGCGCCGGAGGCCCCTCATGGGTCGCCCAGCAGGTGTCCGGCGGAGAGTTTAGGGGCGCGTGTGCCAGCCTCGTTATTGTCTTCATTCTTAACACCAATGAGGGAACGGGGAACTGCTATCCGGGGCCCCCATCAAACAGATGACGCTGATGTGACTTTCTCCCCCTCGCTCGCTCCCTCTCCCCGCTGAGGACGGGTCATCGTGGACCACAGAATTTGGTGTTGATCGCTGCATTGTGGGTTTTGTTGCCGTTGCCTCGTTTTCCTCATTCATGTTCGACAAGATTTTTATCGCACTTTTTCATTAACATTTTGTGGGATCTCTCGTATCTGTATCTGTGTCCGCTGTTCGCTGCCTCCCTCCAACTTTGTTTTATGATCATCTTTATGTGTTTTCTCGTTCCTCTGGCCTTTCCAACTGTTGTCGTTGCCGTCTGTCTCTCTAATTCCATTGAAATATGATCTGTTATTATGTAAATTTTACGATTTCCTAATTTTTTAACACTTATTTTGGCTATTCGGTGACTATCGAAGACCTGGCGCCAAAAGCGTATCCGACGGGGTCTGTAAGCTGTAAGCGATATGGAAATCGCCAGAGGGGAAGAGATCAACGAGGAGGATCTGGCCGATCTTGATCAGGTGCATCAGCCTGGCGCCCCATCAGTCCATCAAATTTCAGGTATTCGATTATACTTCTCTTCTGATTTCCCATTGTCGTTATGTGTGGTCCATGGTGAGATCGAGCTACCGATAGATGTGACTGCAATGCAATATGATCCTATGCAATTTGATATTTTTAATGTGAATTTTACTTAAATCATGATATGATTTATTGTTCTAAAATTTGTTTAGACATTTCGTGTTAAAAATGTAATTTGGAAAAAATAACTTTAGAGCGTGGTTTTTGTAAATTATTTTTAAAGAATGCCAAGTTCTGCTTTATTTTAAATATTTGTTTTTTAAAAAGCTATGCACATATCCCAAAAGTTTACTTAATATTTTATTATTAACAGTATTAATATACTGTTAAATTTTAGCAGATCGCAAGCCCATATTTAGCTTAATTTTAGTGCATACACTAAAATCCATATCACATTCCCATATGTTTACATTAAAATCAACAAATTTGCAACAAAAAATTTAAAAAAAAAAGCTTTAATTAGAAATATTGATATTCATCGGATTCTTCTTGATACTTGACCCGTGCTTTAACCTTCAATTTGAATAAAACCAATAAATTTAACAAGAAAGCAAGCCAGGAAAATAAGCCAGTTTACCTTAAAAGAATCAATTAATAATTATTTATTATAATAAAACAATAAATTTCAATTTTAATTTCATAATTCAGATCTCTACACAGATTCCCCTGTTGCGCTTTCCTCCTGAATAATCTCTTAGTTCCCATCCTTCCGGAAAAATGTGCAATCAGGATGCAGATGAAACCAAAGATACAGGAATGTTCGGAGAGACGGAGCCGTAATTGCAATTATACGTGAGATACCAGAATCAAATGCAGTAGATAATTAAAATGGGAATGCCGGTGCGGCAGGCTCAGTGCTGCCAGCGAGTCCTGCAAGCGAGCATCCTTTGCTTCCCGGAGAACGAGTTCACGGGGTGGAGTGGCGATGCAATTACAGTTACCTCCGATTTCCGCCTTTCAATATGGCGATCATTGCGCATGCGGTTCGCTGGCGGGGAACCAAGAACTGACCAATCAGCGGTTTGTTGTTGCGCCACTGCCGCTGTGTACGTGAGTGTATCTGTGTCTCGAAACAGGTAACTTGAGGGGGCGTTCTTACGGCCAACCTGTTTACGCTCTCGCTCTTTCGCACGCTGCCAGTGGCTGTCAAACCCCCATTCAACGATCGCTCAGAAGAGAGCAGAGATAGAGAGAGAGAGCGTTGCAGGAGGCGCACAGTCGCATCCTTAACCTTAAGTACCATTCATCACTAATTCATAAGTACATAATTCATCGGTAATTTATCAGTAATCTACCTAGGTAGACGTCGGTGTTACTTATGGAATTAACATTGGCAAGTCTTAGCTGTCAATAATCAATAATAATTATTTATCAAAAATTTATATACAAAATTCATCAACGTTTTTTCTTATCCTTTCTTGTATTTTTCTTTTTCTCTCTTAAAACTTACTTGCTGCTATATTATTTTGCATCTCCTGAATTTAATAAAAAATGTATGTACTTACCCTATTGATGTCATGTGGTACTGCAGGGTGTTCTAGGTTGTGCATAGTGTTAATAATTTTTAATATCTACATAATTACTGATCTATAAAATATTCTATATAATATTTCTTTCAGAGAGAAAAAACTATTTAATAAAAAATTGTTAAGTTAAATATTTTACATACTATGCAGTTAAATAAAATTTACATAAAATAAAGAAAATCTTACAATTCGAAATATTTAGTATAAAAGTAAATGTATTAAGTTTACATATAATTTTATTTAGTTTTAAATCTCTACTGTTTACTGCAGTTTTAATTATCTTTAATAGTTCAATTGAAACTACTGTTTGTTTAATGTGATTTGTTAAACAATAATAATTAATCCCCACTTGACACTTTAAACACCACAATGTAGTAACTTTTCGGTCACCGCCACTGTAGCCATGTCTTTTTATCTTTCTCTTTGTACAGTTTGAGAGCCACATTGCCGGCTCACCCCCATCCTTTGTCGCACACACACACGCGCACGACACATGTCCGCCATCTCGCTCTAGCACACTCCCACCGGCATCAGCACCAACCATTTTTCGTTTTCAGCCTTCTGTTTTGATAGAGCGAGACAGCCGCGGAAGTCGCACACAGATACACGCTCTCATAGATACCCGCACGGCCCAACAGCTGCTGGCCGAAGATACATTCAGTTTTGTTTGGGCCGTCGAGCGATCGAGAACGGGAAGCAGCGCCAGTCCAGACACATGTACGGATACGGATACGCCAGTTGATTTTGAAATTCCGTCGCGTGCGGTTCGCTGCCCGATCTCCCGCCCGGATTCGCACAAAAGTTCAAACCCACTTTCCGATCGAATTAATCAAGCGCAACAATCAAAGCACAAAACACCAGCAAGGAGCCAGAAGCAGGCCAATCACTCCGGTGGCGGCCATATTTTGTTGGCACTGTCCCCGCTGATTTCTACCCCGTTCCGTTTCCCCTAATTGCGATTGTGTAGGGCCATTTGTCCAAGTCACGGCCGAACAGCGAAGAGCTTGCTCGCGAAAATAATTTGCAACACGTGTTGACACAGTGCGTCTGATAAATGTGTGCCCGGCACAGCCCTATGCGCGTGTGTAAGTGTGTGTGCCAGTGTGTGAAAAGAGGCCCTGGCTTCGATCTGAATAGTTTGGCCAAAGTTGAAGAAAACCACGCGGCGATATAATCGTTTGTTTCGTTATGCCACTGCTAACACTTGCGGATATATCGAAATCAGAGTCAGAGAACAGCAGCGGCGAAAGCACAAATCCCCACAAAAGGAACAACAAACAATAACTAGAAAACAAACACGGATACGTATCAACAATAAATAATCAAAATACAGGTGAGCCACATATTGGGTTTCGTCGTATCTCCAACTTGCCGACGGCAAGAAGGCAACTTTCCCTATAGGAGTTCTTAAGAAAATACATACACATACATATAGAATTCCGAATTTAAAGACAATTTCTTGGGTGAATTCATAGTTTATTTAAACAATATTTATAATATTTATGATGTCTTAATGCCAGCTATAAATAGTTTACAGATAATAGAAACCCATTTTACTTTGATTTAGAGTATATTATTGGTTATGTTTGAAATTATTTAAAATTCTTATTGAACTCAGCATTAGGAATATCTGGAGATTACTTTTAATATCTGACAATCGAAAACGAAGATCAATACTGACATAAGTTCTTGCGAAGAGCGCTCTTATAATTCCCAAGTCTGAATTCTGTGGCACACTAGTATCAGTGCAAATGTTTTATTTCGATCGGCAACTGAAGAAGAGCTTTACTTTACTGATGCTTTCTGAAAAAACTATCTGTAGAAGAGGTTTGTCTATTAAAGCAGAACAAGAATTAATTAATCAATTGATTCTCTTGTTCCAATAAAAAGCAACACATCTGTGTGACATTATAGTTTAAACGGAAGAAAGTAACATGAAAAGTAATGAATAAAATTTTAGTAAAGGCATCAGCTGGTTTCTGCAATTGGCAAGTACCAAGTACTTTAATGTTACCTGTAATAAAATTAATCAAGAACCTAAAAGGAAAACATTGTATAAGTATTAACTAAAGATAAGGTATCAGTTTTAACCTGTTTTTAATATTTAATATTATTAATATTTTAAATATGCAACAAACCAACCCATTTCTAACGAAGCAATCAGTCATAGAAACCACTTGATTCACAACTTATTTGGCAATCTCAATTGGGGAAGGAGAATGCCAGAGTGCAATTTGCCGTTTGGCGGTTCTGGCATTGGCGAATTCCAAATTGCCAGCCGCCATTAGAAACACAACTCGGGGCACTTGAGAAATACTACATATTGAAGCTCAAGAGATGCATGTCCAACACACACACCCGCGGATATTTGGGAAATATACTTGTTTACACACAGCAAATGCAAATTTCTGTTGTTCTATCCACCTCTCGATGGCCAGGCAGCTAAGTGCTGCTAGCCCCAAGTTAGATATAACATACTTGAGACCACCACACAAATTTATTAATTAGAGAAAGTATGCGATGGACGACGAGTCGCAGGAAAAACAATTTCCAGTTGTCATTCATTCATCACCGAGGTGCCTCACGCGCGCATCTCGAATTTGGTACTCGAATCCATCGGAAACATTTGTTACTAGTGTTTATTTTTAAAATGCTTTGCTTTATCATGCCGATTTCTGCCAGAAATTCGAAATAATATTAACTTATCGTGAGAGTATCGCTGCTCTCAACGAAACACAGCCGGGCGAAGACATCAGATCCGCCGTTGAGTGGGCGTGGACAAAAATCTGTTCGCCTGCTGAGTGTGCAAATTTTTTAAAAGACACAGAAAGAAAAAGAAAGAACCTGCATTCGAAAGGATTCTGTTGTATTTAAATACAATTTTCATCAGATTGGTGGTAATTAGGGAGATAAACCGATGAGCATTCAAATATTACTTTGTCCTTTAAAACTTAAGGTCATTTGATGTATTAAGAAAAATCTGGGGTTTTATAAAGAACCCATAAATTAGAAGTATATTTGAACTTAGATTGCTATAGGTTTAGCACTCAGGCTAGTGCTGGAATCAGTTCGATATTCTCTACTTGAAATAGATAAATTGGTCGATAATATGGGCCAAGTGTATCTAATCGATTTTATTTTGGCTTAGTGTATATTTTACGATTCGGCATTTATAGGAATTGGCCAGCGCGTGTTTGTCGTCAGAAGTCGCATGATTAATTGAGTGCGGAGATGGGAGCAGATGTTGCGTGCGATCTTGTGTGGCTATGCGTATTTTCGGTTATTGGACGAGGGCATATTCGGCGCAGGGCTTCTGGGGTTATCTTCCATCTCGGAAGTGGTCAGATTGAAAAGTTTACGCATTCCATTGCGCCAAGACTCGGGCCAGAACAGATGCAGGCGGCCAGATACGCAAGCTTGGCCACGGCGGCTTTGATCATTTTACGCACCGGCGTACTGAATCGGCCGTAATTGGAGGGCGAGGGTGCGGGACTTTCGGCAAATTCATCTGGGTTTCATTCAAAACTTTGGCAAATGTAGCGAAGCAATGCGACAAGTAGCGAAGATGCAGCGCACATGCCGAGATACAGCTGTGCGGATACAGATACATGTGTGTGCAACCCATTAAATTGACAAATTTCATTCATTATGCTGCGTTCTATTCGATTTCTTTGTGCGTTGTGGGTTGTTATTTGTGGGCTGTGCGTTGCTCCCTTCACGCGGCAATTAAACGCAAAATGTTAAAAATACTTTTGCTCGCCCATATGCACTTGCCTTGCCCACGAGTGTCTCGCGGATAGCGCTTGTCTTGGTCTTGGTCTTGGCCATCCGGCTGCTTACTAATCCCGCTGCTCGGTTTACACGGAACGGCGACTGGCCCACAACAGGTTGCTTGGCACAATGCTCCCCATTTGATTACATTGTATAAACACAGACGCCGCCACAGATGATTTCGGTTGTAGTTGCTCAAAACAGTCGCAAATCTGCTCTGGACTCTGGACTCCGGAATCAGGAGGAGCTTCTCCCCAAACAGTGCCTCGGGCCAGTTTACTTACGGAGCTCTCGGTGTGAGCAGCTCAGCAATCTGGTCTTGGTGCCGCCATTCAATCCATCAACAGGTCGCCAGACAGGCCAGAAAAGTGTGTCTGCTTTTATTGTAAGTTGAGTTTAATTACAAACTAATTAGGCAGCAACAATTCAATTTGATTAACAGCCCCATAGACCGTCGCGTCGCATCTCATCTCGGCTCAGGTGAGGCTTAGGTGTCCGCTTTCAGAGATTCCTCGAGATTCCCCCGCCTGCAGACACAATAACACTCAAATTAAAATCTTATAAAAGTCAAAATAAACAACGGGGCAGCTCGGGAGAGTTGGGGGAATGAAAATAGAGGGCACACACAAAGTGAGAACAGAACCAGAAACAGAAATCCAATAGATAGCCCAGCACTGGAAATAAATTACAAAATTTGTAAAATAAATTAATTTAATTTTGTTCGAATGCCACAAAAGTCAGGCAGCGGGCAGCCAAGCGACGCACTCGATAAGACATCTCGCGCGGGGAATTGAGAGGCAGCCAAAAGATGCAGCCCGATATCGGGTAGAATATCTCACCGAGGTTGCTGCCGTAACTGCTGGTGTTGTGTGGTGCGGAATGGTCACCACATTCTCTGCGGGGGCAGGGACTTCAACGCCGTGCAACGGTACAAGGCCATAAACGTTGGTATGTGGGTATCTTTAAGCTACTATACAGAGCTTTAAAGTTGACTCGAAAGGTGCTTAAAGTGATGAGGCGATCGTGTGATCCATAAAAGTCAAGAACGTGTCGATATTCATTGAGGGACAGTAACAGGATTAACTCTTTCTTGTCTTTAAACCTTCTTAGTTTTAGTTTTAAATTATTTGTGGTTCCTTATTAATTATTCAAGAGACTCATATATCGTCACACTTTGATCTGAATAATTAAATTAATATTTACATCTTTATGAAGGCTAATGGTATCATAATGACAATGCTTAAACATAAACAAAAGCGTAAAATTGGAAGGCAAAAGGTTTTTTGATTGGGGGAAGATCAGGTTATATGTTAGTTGCTATTTATTTTTTTTGTATGTGAATGCGAACAAGCTAAAATATTTTGTTGGATACTTATCTGATTTGCTCTAGGAATATACTTGCAATTGTCTTGCTACGGCGACAGCTACAGGGGGCTACTTTGTTATAAATATAACAAAAAGGGAAGCTAATTTCGGGAAATCCTAGTTTGTAGCAGTTAGCAGTTTCTCCTTTTATATTATTTAAGATAATTTCTTGCATAAAAACATACATTTCATCTACAGTGTCCCATATAATATGTAGTTTAAAGTATAGCGGTGCCTTAAAATTAATTATAGAATTAATTATTATAGATTTAATTTTCGATCCTGAATTAACTTTATTTCTGTTGCAGATCATATATCCTATATATATGTTATATTAACTTTCATTGGATATTAAAAATCACATGAACTTGGATTAAATCCTCAAACTGTAACCGATAGCTCTAGATAGCTTGTTTTTGATAATAACTTGAAAAATGGTCGCTATTTAGCACTTAATCAGTACTTTTTCAGTTTTGACAAAATTGGAAATGAAATAAAGAAGCATTAAGAGATATATACAAACTTTAAATGTCCTTTAAATGTCTATTTCTCAAAGGACTCTAGAGAAAATATTGTTTTAATTGTCATTTCTTAACAGTTTATTGCTAAAAAGTTATTAGTACTGCAATAGTATTAAATATTCTAAACTAAACAGATCGATCAGGAAAAAGCCCAATTGGCTGACATTATATCCTCAATGCATTGGCATAATAGTATTCATTCCACTGGGGGCGCTGCAGTGTATCCATCGGATACAACCCACTTGTACGCGCTGCTGTATGGGCAAAACAGATTGAAAATTTATCGCGTATTTCGTTTCACGTTCGCATATTGCTTGTTTACTTGCGTCAAACATGAAACGGCCAGAAGAAATACAAGCACAAAGAGCAGAAGAATCCCAACGAAATGAAGAAATGAGGAGAAATCCACGAGGAGGCGGCTGCGGGGGATCTGGCCTAGGCCGATGACTCAAGAGCAGCCAACTTGGCGTTGGTATTTTCGTTACAGCAGCCAAACCGAAATCTCTATTTTCTTGTTTTGTATATATAATCTGCCACGGCACACACGCGAGAACTGAAACTGAAAACAGATCCAAGAATATCTCGGCTCGATACAAGAGAGAGTGGGGCGTCGGCGGGGCTAGGGGATCTCGGATCGTGGGCCAAGGGGATGTGTATCTATATCAGTTTATCTGGACAGTCTGGCCGCGAGCAGAGATCGATTGCAAATATCAAAAAAATATCTATAAAATGCAGCCGAGATATTCTATCTGGGGGATACATTCGCACCCTCTCGCTCCCTCCCGCGCGACAGCAGCAGCGTCGTCGCCGCCGCCGTCGTTTGGTAATTTTAGAAATATTCTTAGAACCGAATACAGAAATCTGAAATCAGAGGAATACCGAATACCGAAACACCACGCGCCCCATATACACGTATATTGTGTAAAGAGTTTATTTTTGTAAGAGATCTCTCGGTCGGGTGCGGACAGGTTAGAGAGCTCTGGCTATGGCCAAACCATATTTCCGATAATCGAACATCTCGCATCCGTAAGTGCGCCTGCGACTTAGTTAATCATGTTTGACAACATGGGGTCGGCTCGAGGTTGTGTTTTGATTTCGAATTCGATTTCGATTTTGAGTTCAATTTAGATCTGTGATCTCCCATCTCCTAGCGCGCTGCTTATGAATATGGAAAATCGAAGCAGACACGCTTGTTTTGTTTAACATTTGTGCAAATGTTGCGAGGGGCGAAAATCGTTTTCATTCAATGGTAATTTCCACAGTTTTATGTGTCTCAATTAGTGTTGTTTCAATAATAATCGAAAGGGGCCATAAAAAGATGAAAAATCTTTGGATTAATTTGTACGATAACTGTGGCGTAAATTTGTTTAGAAAAATGGGTTGTTGCAATTGGATTATATAGCTGATATGTAGCTAGAGGTCTAGTTTAATTTTACAAATATTAAACATATAATATTAACACATACTGATCGTGTGTCAGAAGACAAGTACAGCAAAGGTTATGCATACAAAAGTGTTAATGCAACAGTCAATTGTCATCAGTATATTCCTTGTATTTTCAACTGAAATTCTTCCAGATTAAATATCACTTTATTCATAATCTTATACTTAAAATACTATATCTTGTATGCCTTTTTATTTCCATTCCAGCGCTCAAACTACCAAAGAAGCAAACTTTAGATTAGGCTATTCAACGCACTAGAAATCCCTTACTGAATATAGAGGAGCCCTGGCGGAGACCTCCTGGAAAGAGTACCCCTTGAAGACCATTCAAGTGCAGCATCCGGAGGAGCTCTGTTTCTCGCACAAAATGCTACAGCATCCCGCCACAGATTTCTACGATTTGGCGGCGGCCAATGCGGCCGCTGTCCTCACCGCCCGCCACACGCCCCCCTACAGTCCCACCGGCCTCTCTGGGTCTGTGGTTCTGCACAATAATAATAACAACAACAGCACCACAAGCAATAACAACAACAACAGCAGCAGCACTCTGGACATAATGACGCACAACGGAGGAGGAAGCGGAGGACTGCACCTGAACAGTGGCAGCAACGGCAGTGGTGGAGGCGGAGGAGGGCTGGTCAGCGGGGCAAGTTCCGGGGGTAGGGAGAACTTGCCCAGCTTTGGCTTCACCCAGGAGCAGGTGGCCTGTGTCTGCGAGGTGAGTTGATGGCGGAAAAGCCTATGGAAAGTGTCAAGTTTTTAGATGAAACAATTATAAAGCTGTTTGGTTTATTTATAATGAAATTCTCATATTCCTTTTACTTAATATTTTTATCAATGTTATCCGTTAAAGATATAGACCTATTCCTTCGTATCTCGGGAATTTTAAGAGGTACCCCCTCTAAAATTTCAAGTATATTGTTCTATTAAGATTGCATTATTAACTAATAAAAAAATAGTACGCAAAATCCATAATTTCCCGAACTAGAATTCATAATTATTTGAGCTTAACTTGAGAGTTTCGATTAATAAGGCCTAGATCCTATCGATTTTTAAGAACCTTTTAGTTTTGAGGCTCAAAAAAATACATTCTTTAAATTCAAATCAATAAAATCCATCTTAAATTGATTTCTATATTATTTACCCCACACAGGTCCTTCAGCAGGCGGGCAATATCGAGAGACTGGGCCGCTTCCTCTGGTCCCTGCCACAATGTGATAAGCTGCAGCTGAACGAGTCCGTGCTGAAGGCCAAGGCGGTCGTTGCATTCCATCGTGGCCAGTACAAGGAGCTGTACCGCCTGCTCGAGCATCACCACTTCTCGCCCCAAAATCACGCCAAGCTCCAGGCCCTGTGGTTGAAAGGTGAGACAATCCCCCTGGCTGCTTAACCCCAAAATGTTCGAACAAAAACGAATTCTTTCTCTCCGGCTGTAGCGCATTATGTGGAAGCCGAAAAACTGCGAGGAAGACCCTTGGGTGCTGTTGGCAAATATCGTGTTCGCCGTAAATTTCCACTGCCCCGCACCATCTGGGACGGCGAGGAGACGAGCTACTGTTTTAAGGTGAGTGCCGTCGAGTCCTGGGCCGCTTTTCATTTTAATTGTGGCAAGCGGCGAAATCGTACAAATGTTCGTTCGTTCCTCTGTCTGATTGCCTGAGCTGCAACTGTCTGATTCTGCCAGGGGTAACGCCTATTCGGCTTTATCGGGGTAATATATTCCACTGTACAGGATGCGGTGTGTTTGCTCTATGGCAGGCTTTCAGTTGATTAAAATAGATTGGGCTCACGCCAAGGAGTAGAACTTAAAAATCAACTAGGAATATTTATTAATAGTCCTGTTGGTTTTTCTCTTAGTTTAAAAACTAACTGGAATAAAATATTCAAAAAGTCTTCTCTTCAATGGAGGTAGTATATGTGTATATAGGAACGTATTAGATCGGATAACTATATCTGACTTCATTCTCTTTCAACATAATTCTACCCTCCTCCACATAGAACTTTCAGGATTCAGGATTCCGGTTTTAGTTTTATAAAAGTCGGACAACTATATGATGTAACAACCATAGGAATATAGAGAATAATAAAGAAAAACCTATGAAAACTATTTTTAATCTGTTATTTTGATCATATACATAACAAGAAAGGAAGCTAACTTCGGCACGCCGAAGTTTGTATACCCTTGCAGATTGGTTTTGATATTTATATTATAAATTATAATGCCGAAAACAGACACTAAACAGAGTTTCATAACATTTTTTCTATATTTATTATGTTTACAGTTTGACAGTTACAGTTTTACATTCCCAGCCTTACATTTTCTCTACATCTACGGATCGCTTCTATGGCAGCTATATGATATAGTTGTCCGATTTCCATAATATTGTTACCAATATTCTAAAATAATACCAAAAGCTCATGTCTCAAAGAAGATGAAAATACGTTGAAAAACAACGAAGTTATAATTTTTATACCCTTGCAGGGTATTATAATTTCAGTCAGAAGTTTGCAACGCAGTGAAGGAGACGTTTCCGACCCTATAAAGTATATATATTCTTGATCAGCATCAACAGCCGAGTCGATCTAGCCATGTCCGTCTTTCCGTCTGTCCGTCTGTCCGTCTGTCCGTCTGTCCATCTGTCCGTCTGTCTGTCTGTCCGTCTGTCTGTTTCTACGCAAACTAGTCCCTCAGTTTTAAAGCTATCTGAATGAAACTTTGCATATAGTCTTCTATATGCTCTCACTGCTATATATGTCGGAACGGGCCGGATCGGACGACTATATCATATAGCTGCCATACAAATGTTCGATATATTTTTAGAAAAAAAATTATAACTTTGCTGTTTTTCAACATTTTTGCACCATTTTTTAGATATGGCCACTCTATATTATTTAAGAATTTTGGTAAAAATTTTATGAAAATCGGACGACTATATCTTATAGCTGCCATAGGAACGATCGGGAAATTAATCGAAAAAAAATATAACTTCGTTGTTTTTCAACGTATTTTCATCTACTTTAAGTTATAAGCTTTTTTTATTATTCTAGAATTTTGGTATAAATTTTATAAAAATCGGACAACTATATCATATAGCTGCCATAGAAGCGATCGGCAAATGTATAAAATATGTAAAGCTGGGAATGTAAAACTGTAACTGTCAAACTGTAAACATAATAAGTATAGGTAAAATGTAATGAAACTCTGTTTTGTGAGTGTTTTCAGCATTTAAATCTATAATATAAACATCGAAACCAATCTGCAAGGGTATAAAAACTTCGGCGTGCCGAAGTTAGCTTCCTTTCTTGTTTTCGATTAATTTCCCGATTGTTCCTATGGCAGCTATAAGATATAGTGGTCCGATTTTCATAAAATTTTTACCAAAATTTTGAAATAATAAAAAAAGCTTATATCTCAGAGTAGATGAAAATACGTTGAAAAACAACGAAGTTATAATTTTTTCCCCATTTCCTGATCGTTCCTATGGCAGCTATAAGATATAGTCGTCCGATTTTCATAAAATTTTTACCAAAATTCTGGAGTAATATTAAATGGCTATATCTCAAAAATGATGCAAAAATATTGAAAAACACTCAAGTTATAATTTTTTTTCTGAAAATTTATCGAACATTTGTACGGCAGCTATATGATATAGTCGTCCGATCCGGCCCGTTCCGACATATATAGCAGTGAGAGTATATAGAAGACTATATGCAAAGTTTCATTCAGATAGCTTTAAAACTGAGGGACTAGTTTGCGTAGAAACGGACAGACGGACGGACATACGGACATGGCTAGATCGACTCGGCTGTTGATGCTGATCAAGAATATATATACTTTATGGGGTCGGAAACGTATCCTTCACTGCGTTGCAAACTTCTGACTGAAATTATAATACCCTGCAAGGGTATAAAAATCCCTTAGACATTCAACTGCAATAACGGCATTTCTACAATAAATTCAGCCACAAAAAATTAATTCTTTTTAGGAATGTCTATCTGAAACTCTGTACTTTTATTTCTATTTTCCGCAGGAGAAATCCCGCTCGGTATTGAGAGACTGGTACTCGCACAATCCATATCCATCGCCGCGAGAGAAACGCGATCTGGCCGAGGCCACAGGACTGACCACCACCCAGGTGAGTTGCGATTCCCGTTGCCAAAAACTAAAAACCAAAGACCAAAAGTCGAAATTCAAACGACAAAATTAAGCCAAATGTCAAACGCATCTTTTGACAAATTTCAATTGCAATTCCTCACAGATGCCATCCTCCGCATGTTAATTGCATCTCATTAATCATGGCACACACGGCCCATACTTGTTGCGAATGTCTCTAAGCTATTTTTGTGCATTTACAGGTTTCCAATTGGTTCAAGAATCGACGACAAAGAGATCGAGCCGCCGAGCATAAAGAGTGAGTTGCAATTCATATAACTTGTTGTATTACTGGGTAAAGTTAAGCATATTTCATATTCCTCAAAAGCTCCTTAGCCGGATCTATATCTGCTCTGGTTATATCAGTGGCCTGCGTATAGACGAATCTATATCTTTATGCTTTATTTGAGATGTATCTCGCGCAAGTGTCAACGCGTGCATGGTGCCGCGAAAAAAATAATATATTAATTTGCATTTAAAATTTCAATTACAAAAGCTGACGACATTTACTTTCAAGGTCGTCGAGTGGGTGGAAAGGGGGCTAATTAGTGCCAAGGACATCACGCAACTGGCGCACGCTGGGGAAGATTGGGTGAGGTGAGGTGAGGTGCTGAGGTATGAGAGAGGCATTGAGAGAAAGAGCCGCTGACAAAGTCATTAACATGTTGTTCCAAATTCCAAAGTATATATATATTCATATATACACGGCCATATGCATGTATTTATTGTATTATTATTATTTGATTTGTTGATGTTTACTTTCCGCTATATGGGCAGATCCCCGGCATATGTCTGGCAGGCCTCGTCACTAATTAAAATCCCCAGTCCTTTTCCCCCTCCCTTTCCTTTTCCCTTTCCCCGCAGCCCATTTCCCTGAACATCTGCATTTCCGCTTAAGCAAATAGTTTCAAACAGTTGTGGAACTCCTTTCGGCTGCTTCCTCCTCGGGAGAGTGAGATCGCGAGAGATCTTCGGCCGCTGATACGGAATATTTTCTCAAATATTAAACATCCTTTGGCTGGCTAGCATCCTTTTGTTTGTCTTTTGGCAAGGAGCGGCCTGGGTCCTTCTGCTGCCGCTGAAAGTCATGTGAAGTGCAAACAGTTGAAAAAGTGAAATGGATTTTGTGAAGTGGCCGCATTTCCTAGGCTCCTATGCATCCGCTCCCTTCCGCTAACTAACATTAGTTGGTATATTGCCAAAAAGACCCAACTTTCGCCGAGATAGTTCCATTATACTAAATGGTATATCACTTACGGCTCCTCCACAACGAGCCTCGCCTCACGAACGGCGGCCGAAAAGCGAGAAATTGTCGTAATAAAAATGAAAAAACTAAAATGGTAAAAAACAGAAATAATGCAAAAATATTATAAATTGGATGCCGTGGCAACCGCAAGGCACACTCACACTTCTGCACTCGACAAAAGTACGAGTATCTCACAGATACACGTTCGTTCTCGGCTATAGTTTGCACTGCGTAGCTTCCCTTTCCCAGCCCGCTGCTTCCCCTCCCTCTTCCGTCTCTGCCTCAGCTCCTCCTGGCTGGTGGTAACCCGATATATGTTTATGGCTGTTGCCTCGATGAGCAACTCAGTGTGCTGCTACTTTAACTTTTTCATACTGTTTTTCCCCTTATTCCTTTTGCATGTGCAGTCTGGGCGAGGGTGTGTGCGAGTGTGCGAGTGAGTGTGTGTGTGTGTTTGTGTGTATCTGTGTTCCATGCAGCTTTGTGGCAGCCAGCAAACCACATCGGCGCCAAATCCGAATCTAAAGCGGCACTTTGAACAGCCCAGCAACTGCCAAAGTGGTTATTGTTTGAATAGGCACCACCTTGGCAGGGCCATAGAGAGCGGAGTGCCGACTGGGTAGATGGATGTGGGACAATCCATTTGAGATAGGTTTGAAGCCCATCTTGATCCAGGCAGTTATACTATTCAGATCTAGGCAGATTATTTAATTGAATTAATTATGGCACCTTGGAGGTAGATGCGTACTTGAGTTTCAACTCTTAGAACACAGGCCTGAGCTCTACTCACTCTGAATTTCTAAACGCTCGTGCGACGTCACACAAATGCAGTTATAATATTTCAATATATTTCTCTATAATTACCTAGATATCAATAGTATTTCCATGTTTTCTTTATTCTTAACATATAAACAAATATGTATGAAAATTATTGAATGGATTACGAACTAGGCGTGGCCATAAGTTGATACAATCTTATTTTGCGTGGGGTTCATGCAAGTTTGTATAAAAAAAACAAAATATTTGTAATTTTAAAGTTCTTGTTTTAAACAATGACCGCAAATTTAGAAAGATATCTTCAACAAAAATTACAAAATATTCTTCTTAGAAAATGTTCGATTTCATTTAATAAAATCATATTTTTTTGTCAGTATTAAAAACATTTTGTCATAACAATTGCTGACTTTTTCATCAAGTTTATTTAAACCTTTTAAAGGATCTAAATTGAAGATGCTCCTGATACTGAGTGGACACCTAGAAGCTCTCTCAGCTCAAATATTCTGTCTTATTTTATCTGTCAAAAATGTAATCACGAATCAATTTTATTTAAAATGAAAAACCCATCACCCATCCTCAACCCAAATCTGCAAATATTGCCCATATTGGGATCCTGCCTCAGCTGAAAACAAAGCTCAGGGCCATGCGCATGTAGTCGATTGTCGAGGATATGGCGGTCATAATCACTCGATAGCGGTCGATGTACATGGTCACGTATATCAGATACTTCTGATTGGGCACCTCGAAGCGCCACAGGTGCAGGGCGGCCCCAAGGAGGTCCAAGTTGTCGGGCGGTACCAGCGCCAAGTGCTGCTCTGCGACGTACTGGAAGATGCCGTAGTAGAAAACCAGGACGAGCAGCGGGCACAGGAAGGGCAGCAGGAGGAAAAAGAACAGGCCGCAGCTGTACCCGATCTTGAGGAGGGTTGGGAAGGGCAGGGGCTGCATCCATATAAAGAACAAGTTATCGACCAGCGGCTGCAAATAGTAGATCAGCTTCCCAGTGTTCGACACGCTCTTCCACTGGATGGGATCAAGATAGGGACAAGTAGAGCTTTTCTGCGGCCTCCGAATCGGTACTTACCACCTTGCGCTTATGCAACGGCTTGTTCCAGGTCTTGTGCATTTTCCGGGTTCTAACTGACAATTTTAAGAGTTAAATAAACAGGGAATTTTGAATTTGATGAGAGCACTGAATACTGCCTAGCTAATGCCAAAAAGTGTCTAGAGTACAAGAACTTATTTAATTTCATAAAAATTCGATATGAAGTTGCCAAAGTTTAATTTATAAATTTTTAAATTAAAGATTGACATGTCTTTAAATGCCTTAGTAGGAACAAAAAATGTAAAGTAGGATTTCGGCTTAATTTAGGGTTTTATATAAAGAGATCTAGACTTACAGTCTTGCGTTATCTATACTATGTATATCTATAGATAGAGATATATCGACATAAATATAACGGATCTCTATATATTATGATCTATAGATAAAGAACAGTATAATTTGCGGCAGACCTGGTAAATGGAAGCTGCGAAAGAGAAATGAAAGCTTCAAGAGCACTGAGTTCTTACTTAAAAATATATACTCTATACAAAATATAGTTATAACATATATGAAAAAGTGTTCTAATACCTTAATATTTGATGACATGGATGCTCTTTAAGAAATCCCGATAATCAGTAGAGTCTTTAAACGCGCTCCTTGATTGATCTGCTGGCATTATACGTATTTCTACGGGAATTCCTTGGCCTCCTTTACTGCCCTCACCCTCACGCTCTCTCGCTCGTACAAACCCACTTCCAGACGTGTCCCTGTCCCTCCGTCTCACTCCTATTCCCTCGAGGAACAGCAGCCACCATCATACTTCATATACATACTTCATATACTCGCATTCGCACTACCGAGGCGACCCAGTCCGAGTTCCACTTCCAGTTCCAGTTCCAGTGCCAGTCCCAAGTCCATCCCACTCCCCGTCTCTGCTCTAACCCACCCCCCTTGCCCCTGTCCAGGCCGCTTGTGTGCGTGTGTGTGTGTTTGTGTTCTCCCTCCCCATCCTCCGTCGGGGGACGTCGTCATCATTCTGCGTTCGTCGAATGCCACGGTTGGCTGGAGGGTAGCTGGCCAGGGTATCGGGTTACCACAAAATGTGCGTGTGTTCTTTATTCGTTCGCCCTGCCGTTCCCCGCCAGCCGTCTCCAGCACGTTATTCATTTTTATTCGTTTTATTGTACATTCTGTTTTTATTATTATGTATTTTGCGCTTTTGCCCGTCTTGGGCCCTCGTCTCCTCGCCGCCGCCTTTGTGTTTGCCTTCGTTTCTCTCCGCTCTCGTTCCCCGCTCCGAGCTCCGAGCTCCGATGGCGTTGATAATGATGTTGTTGGTGATGATGGACCGGCTGGAGGCGCTTGCCATCCACATTGACATCCGTGGCAGCCCATCTCCGCATTTCTCCGCATCTCACTTACCCGGGAGTGGGTGTCAAGTGTACGCTCTCTTGACAATAATTAGATCTCATCTGGAGGCAGCTCCTCATGGCACGGACACACAGTAAGAAATCCAAAGGTGCAAAGATGCTGTTTAAAAATTTGCAATGATATAAGCAATTGAAAAATTGTATCTAATAGGGAGCGAGTAGTATATTCTCTACACACCATAACTAAAAGATATTTCAGATCACTTTATCTTGTTCTTTGAGTAAACTTATTTAAATACATCTACGGGGAGTTTGTCGCAGTGCAGCTACTCTACAAAACTTGACCTCCGCAAGGGTTTCCTAGGGCTTCCTCTAGGTGCCTCTAAGCTGCTTAAAGTACGGACAATAATGGGGAGATTACATAAAAGTTTGGTTAGGCACAGCGGGGAATGGCGACGGGATGTTTCTCCTTGGGGCCGGGCAATTAAAAGGCAACAAATTTTTGAGAAACTGTCAAAACAATCCTTGTCCAGCATAAAACGCGCCACACGCCAGACATTCTACATATACCCCCACCTTGGGCCTCGCATCTCGATCGTTCGGATAATAAAATATCTAAAAACGATGGTAACCTGGGACTGGGGTAATCTTTGGGATCTTACATAGTTGTAGACAAAGGCACACAATGCCCGATCAGACGCTGGCTAGACGAAAACGAAATCCCCAGGTCGAGTCCGGCTGGGTCTTCCCCATCTTCACAGACTCTCTGAGTGTCAGTGGTCGCCACGAACATTAACAACAGCCACACACATGCGTAAATTAAATGATAATTTATGATCAACACCTTTTCAGATTCCACTTATGGATCGCCGTTGCCCGTTTAGTTGGGTGTCCTGCTGGGCACACGTCCCGAGATTTGTGTACCGATCGCGCAATGCGATAACTCAACCTGTTCTCCCAATCGCCCCAACTTCGAGATCTTCTGAGCCCTCTTTTCAGGGCCTGCGCTTTCGAGGCAGCGTTTCATTTCGTGGCCTGTGTGTTTATTTGTTTTTTGGATTTATTGGCTTATAATTTTTATTAGCAATGGAATTCCTTGGAAGCCGGAGTCCATCCCTCATCGAGCAAGACCATGTGATGGCTCAGGCGCTCCGATCCCGTGATCCTTTATATTTCGTGTGAAAACTGTGGGGTTATGTCATGGCAAATAGCACAGGAAGGGCTACATTGAGCTAGGAGGTGCCTGGTTAAAAAGAGTTTACCAACCACAGATTTGTTGATTGGAAGTTGATATAATCATATCATTACAAATAATATGTACTGGAATATAGAGAATATTTTTAAACTACAGTCCCATTTTTGTACCCTCCTATCCTAAATCTTAATATTCATATACATACAAGTCAGAACCACATTGTCATAGCCACCATATTTGAAGAGAAAACATATGAAAGATAACTATCTAAAGATCTAAAATTCAGGTGATTCATCTTCACTGCCTAAAGTTGATATTATCATATGATTACACATAATATAAACGGAATACATTCAATATATCTGAACTACATTCTCAATTTGAAAGTCTCCTATTCTAAATCCCAATATCTCCATATACCAGCCAGAACAACTCAATTCACGTGACAAACTTGTTTCTGGCTCGGTCGTCTCTTCGCTCGCTCATCCCCAGTTCCAGTTAAACATAATCCGATCATGCATTATTACCAAGCTAATGAATCTGCTTAAGACGGACCCCGGCAGAAATGACTGGAGACTACAAAAAATCAATTGAGCAAACAAGTAAAAAAATTAATTCCCCCTCACTGGGCACCAGACCCCAAAAAGATGGGGACGACGAGGGGGAAATGGAAAGCCCGAGAAACCTTTATTCGGGGGGGACCACACACAGAGAGCCAGAGCCACAGCCAAGAGCCCCAGAACCTGCTTCTCCTCTGTATTTGTTGTTGAATTTTGTTATAAACTTTATGTGACATTCACTTCTGGCGCAGGGAATTGTCCTTGAGACGCTCTGCTCCCGTTCGGCGATGTGTGCCCTCCCCGACTACAGGAAAACTGAACTGAGGCATTTGTGTTTATAATGCAATCACTGGAAATGTGTGTGAGCCATGGACCATGCCCAGCAAGTGGGCGCTGTCTGTGTGTATGTGTTAATAAGTGTTGCAGAGAACGAGCGGGCTGGGACCACGAAATGCTGGTAACTCGATATCATTGTATATATGCTTCTGCTGCCTTTTGTTTGCTCCCCACTCTTCGCTCTGGGATGGGCCTTTTCCCATGTTGGTGTGCTTAGGCCATCGATTTTTGCCTAGATCGAGCGTCACTTTAATGTGGGGAGTCCGAGAGCCCGTCTTGGGAAATTTGGGCACTAATGTCCATCAAATGCCACATGTCTCCGACCCATACCACATGTCTTGGCCCAAGTTCAAGTTCATGCTAACGCTGCAAGAACTGCTCGTAAATCCGCGGCATCGCCGCTGGTGGCTGCCACTCGCGGGATATAATCTACAATTACATGATTGCCGATATCGTACAGCTGGCCAGCGCCGTATGGGGGCCCCCCAGAGCAGAGCTTCAGCTCCTCCAACTCCTCCTGCTCCTTAAGACGAATCCAACGGATAGGAATCTGCGGCAGCCGGGGAACTGGAGTCAGCAAATAACTCGCGCGGATAAACTGGGCTCGGATGAGGTTCTGCTAAGCAAAAGACCGATCCTGCCCTCCAACTGATCGCAAATTTGTCGAGTGTGCGCTTAAATGTTTTGCATTGCCACGAACAAGGCCTGTTGCCTGGTTGCACACACTTTGTCCGGGTACTTCTGATGGTCGAATTGGGTTTGAAATTTCCACTTAATCCCTCTAATCCAATGGATATAGATTAAGAATTTAGTTAGTCAGATCTATTGATTTGAATTCTGATTGACTAACAGCACTAATTACTTACCTTAAAAACGGCTTTTCATCTTAATATTTAAGTCCCAGATAGCTATTTAAACGAATAAGATAACGACCAGTTTAACTTGTCGTTAAAGCTTAAAGTTTTTCTCCCCACCTGTAATGTATCTTCACTTTCTTTAGGGTGGATTTTATCGAGCTGAAAAGATTTGAGAGGATGTTATTTGAGAGGTTGTCAATGTTAGCTTTCTCAATAATACAGAAAAAACAACATTTTATTCGTCCAAAAAATCTTAACAGTAACGTGAAACCTAGCGTTAGAGTTTTATAACTTTACCAAAACAAACTCACGGAATCCTTTGATTCTTTAAAAACAAAAAATGTTATCCAAACTTTTAAAGATATCCAAGTAAAACCTAGATCTACAGGGATGTCACGGAAATCGCATAGGACTCGACAGCAAAAGATCCGGAACTATGTCAAATAATACCATACATTTTAGCTGCTCTAACATGGCTTAATTGGTACATAAATTAAGGACATATACTTAGACATATCAATACATGACATATCAAAGGGGCTGAAGGCAGGGTATCCACACTTGGCTGAGACTTATTTCTGTAGCTGCCACGGCAATGTTATTTGTTATTTGTTGCTGTTGCCCGCTGTTGTCATCAATTTCTGCGCAAACTGGTTCCTCGATGCGGCTGCTGATTACCGATAACTGATTGTGCTCGTCCATGCAATTGGCGACAAGATTAACACTTTGCCGATGATTGCCGGCCGTGGAGGATAGGCGTCTCGTCTGCTCGAGTTTCGGGCTCATTGTGGCCGGTTATTGGCCATCCACTGATGCCTTAGGCAAAGGACTGAGGCCATCCCCGGGGGCGCCTTAAATTAACCCTAAAGTGATGCGACATTCGAATGCCATTTGCGGAATCAGCCACAAATAATAAAAGTCAAGCTACTTAGCTCGGGCTGCGGCAGCCCTCACACCCACTTGAACCCCTCGAAAGTGACGTGGCGTGACTCGAATATCTGACTCTGAAATCAGATGCGACTCATCCAAATGCTCCAGGGAATCCAGCGCCGTCTCACTCGCTCTGCCTGCCAGCTCCGAGTCGCTCGGTCGACACCTCAAAACGAACACGATACCATTTATAGAAATGGGAGAGCAGACGATTTCCTTCCGGAATTCATTTCAATTGCAATTGCTGTGTGCCCTGTCATTTGTCATTTGTTTATAAATAAATTATGCACTCCGTGCCTGTGTCCCGCACTCCGCGTGGGTGTGTTGACAGCAGTAAAAGCAGTAAATTAGTTGCAGCAATTGACACATTTTAATGTGAACGATGCTGACACCCAAAAGCATATGTCTGGGGTCACGGCGCGTACTGTAACGACCGCTGGTAGGCCGTTGATGGTGATACGTGAGGGTGATTCGACAGAAGAAATTATTAAATTGAAATATTAATTGTAATGAGACCATTGAACATTATGAAGTTTGGAGTCATAATACTTATACTTAAATGAGAGCTTCATTATAAAATGGTATTGGTTAGGCAATTAAACTGTACTTTATTAGAGAAGATTGATATTCAATAATTTTATTATGTTTTGTGTCGAAAAGAACATATATACATATGATAGTTCCTTTGTATTATTATTTAGACCTTCAATATAGATTTCTAAAAGAATGACTTTACTATTTTCAAAGTGTAGAAATTGTTTATATTTTTTCAATAATAAAAACAACAGTACACTGATAAAAAAAAACAAGAATTTTGGTCATAAAAACGTGATTTTTCGGTCACGAAAATGGCTTAAGCATATTTTGGTCTTCTTTGGATATTTTCGGTCACCTTTTAAGTACTTTTTCATTCTACATTTGAGATTTTTCAAATATTATTTCAATCCTTAAAAAAGTTTAAAATAAGAACGATAAACGACCGAAAATCTTAAAAAATTACCATAACAAGGCTTAAATTAAGAAAAAAAAATTTTTTTTTGAATCCTAACGAGACCGGCCTTAGTTAATACTACTAAACATTCATAATACCAAACATTTTAAATTAAACATTATTGTGAAAGAATTTTTATAATCTGTAATTATTGGAGCTAGAAATGATTATTGTAAATTAAATTAGTATTAGAAATTTTATTAAAAGCTACTTACATTTTTTTTCCCGGCTGCACTATGGGGCGAACGACCACTTTTTGTGGCATTAATTAATAACTTTAAGACGAGTTAAAATTTTTAAGTTCTGTTTTTTGAATCAAGTTTAATATAAAAAAAGGAAAATATTTTACTCAAAATGGGCGTGGTCTCGCCTTTTTTTAAGGATTAAAAATTTTTTTTCAGTGCTAAAAAAATTTTTTTTTTGCTATTTTTTATGTATAATAAACAAGTATTGCATAATAAAACAAATATGTAAAAATTGTCTTCTAAATATTTTTTTTTAAGTCAAATCACATAATTTTTCATTTGCTTGGGCAGGCGACCAAGCATATGCAGTACTCTAAGATTCTGAAGCCTCTTATTCAAAAAAACTTAAATGAAACAACCTAGTTTTCTGTAATATGACTTGAATGTATACAGATTTATTATAACATGAATAAAAATTGCAATATCTTTACCAATATTGGTCGTTTAAACGTTCTAAAGGGTAAAAAACTCGATATTTTTCAAATGTAAGGTAATCATCTTTAAATTTAAATTTCAGAGAAAGTGCGCAAAAGTGCACCTTGATACTCACAGAATATAACAAGAATTACCAAATCTACAATATATATCCAATTTTAGAGGTGGACTGTGCTGGACTCACTTTATAACTTAATTTTAATATTGGACTACACTTAAATTTTATATAATTTATAAGGGTTACAAATTATACAAGATTGCGGGGGGCACCTATTACATTTCTGGAGTTAAATTCCGCTAACATATATTACGAAGCACCATGAATGAGATTGCATCAAAAAATTAGCATTTTATTTAGATTTTTTTACATTTTTTTAGCATTTAAAATCTGCAGAATAAAAACGCGATTTAACAGCGCTCACTTCTCGTTGCATTAACAGCTAACTTTAACAGCGAATAACTTAACAGAGCGCGTCAATGTTTATTTTTTGGGTATGTAACATGTTAGATTAATGTTATAAGAATACATTCCGGTTAAAAAAAAAGTATTTTAACAACTTTTAAAAAATTGGTTTATGCCAGATAAGGTGGTCGTTCGCCCCATAGTGGGCTGGGATCCGAACCCATGTCTCAAAATTCACAGACCGACCGCTTACCAACTGGGCCACTGAGGCAAATCAAACACTAATGTCGGGAACGTGAATACATACAGTTCCAAGGACAGAGAAAACAAAAAAAAAAATGTATCTCCCTCTCTGAGCTAAAAATAGTTTTTTTTAAGAATGGTCGTAAGAGCGAGACGGCACTATGATTTCCATTTTTGTGTGAGAAAAAAAGAGACAACACTAGAAGCCGTCTCTTCTGAATTTTTAAGATTAACAAAAATCTTAATTTACGATTTTTATTTCTTAAAATGAATCATTTTCGGTATTACTTTATGATTTTTTCTTCTTCTTATTAGAATATTTGGTCTTTTTTTAAGATTTTTTTTTTAAGAATGCCAAAAAATGTGCAAATCTTAAATGTTGATTATTTTGTTCGTAAATATAACCTGAAAAATCTTCTTTGTAGTATTTTTGGTCTTATAGTAAGATTTTAAATGAAGAATGCGCAAAATCTCAAAAGAAGATTTTATTTTTTTATCAGTGTATATGTTACATAAATTGTATAGTGATGAATTGGTATCATTTGTATTGTGATTCCTATGTTTTTCAATTCTATAAAAGGGTGTTTGTAGAAACAGTAATCAATACAATGTTCTTTATTATTTTATCACATACGATGCCTAATTTTGTAGCATAGTTTTGCTACGTTTTTAGAGGTTTTCAAACTCCTGGTGATTTCTGTATGCCTTAGAGGGCTATAAAGGGCTTCTCCCTCCAATAAAACCATGGTATAATATTAATTAGTTCCATAAACTGTATGTAAATTCGATAAACTTATTTACTTTTAACTGGATATTCCTCAGGATTATAGGAATATTACTTTTTAATAAAATCAATTGAAAAGTTATCAAATAGTAAGCAATAATTAATACGTCAGAGCTCTTTAAAGGTTCTGCAATTACCGCACTCAATATATGTTAATAAACTAGCGCCAATTTGATATAATTAATAAAAAATACCTTAATAAAGATAGGGATACAATTTCTTAGAAAATTGCAAGTTGGAATACTCGAAATAACATTCTTATAATGTATAAGAAATACAAAACAATCTGCAGATAAAATATTATAATAATTTTGTATTTTATTGCAGCGGCTCCACGGACAAACAACACTTGGACTCCTCCAGCGACTCGGAGATGGAAGGCAGCCTCCTGCCCAGCCAAGGGGCGCAGCAGCAGCAACAGCAGCTCTCTCCTGGCAATAGCGGCGGCAACAACAACAACAACAACGGCCTCCATCAACAACAGCTGCAGCATGTAGCCGCCGAGCAGAGCCTGCAACACCACCCACACCCACACCAGCAACACCCCGCCGCCAGTAGTGTCGCCAGCAAGGGCGGCAGCAGCGGCGGCGGCGCCAGTGGCGGAGGCGGTGGGGGAGTGAGTGCAGCAACCGCTGCGCAAATGCAGATGCCCCCCGCTCTCCGCAGCCGTGGCCTACTCGCACCTGCACAGCGTGATGGGGGCCATGCCCATGACCGCCATGTACGACATGGGCGAGTACCAGCACTTATGATTCTAGTTGGAGGCGGCCGCTGCCGCCGGAGGCCCAGGGGTCAGTGGGACTGGCGGCAGTGGCAGCAGCAGCCACATCACCCACGACTGGTCGCCGACGGTGCCACGCCAGCGCCAGCGCCACCAGCAGCAGCCATCAGATAGCTTCTACTTCTGAGATAGTGAGTTCGCAATGATGCCGGAACCCATCAGCATAGCAACAAATTCTAGAAATGAATATCAATCACATACCTAAGCTCTGGCAGGACTCAAAACCAATATTGATTTTGGATGGAGCAGTATCCTGGGAAATATCAATGTTGTAATCGGGCGACAGAAGAGATCATTCATAGTTTTTGGAATTGATACATTTTCCCTTAATCAAGGATTAACCTATCAGGGCTGCCAGTGGATTTTAAATCTATTGAAGCAGCGTAAAAAAGTATGCTACAAAGGGGGCACCAAACCAAATGTATGTACAGAAATCACTAGTTTTTAAAACCCCAGAAAAGTTGTAAAAAATTGTGCTACTCTGAATTCTTTATCTTAATAATTCCGTGTTATACTTTATACTCTAGTGATTTCTGGATCACCCATGGTTTTGAGACGTTAAGTAGTACAGTTCATACTTTTCTATACCCTTTCGAATGATTTCAAAGATTAGGGAACGCTCCCTCACCCATAATCTCATACAAAATCGTGGTTTCCGTTCAGGCAGTTCGTGGACAAGTGATGGATATGTGATCGCAAGCACAACCACTCCTCCGGATAGCACAACTTGGCATTTTCTGCAGCCAGCGAGGAAGAGATATAGAACTATACTTAAGTGGAAGGAAAGGCACCAAGCTGCAGCACAAGCTTTTAGCGATAACTCCGGCTAAAAACACAGATAAAGCCTCCAGCCGCTTCGATCTATGTAAATAGCTAGGCTTTAGTTTTAGAGCGGTCGGACAGCCGACCGAAATGCAAATCAAATTAAAATGTGCAAAAATTAAATATACCACTTACATGCATAAATTATACACTTTTAATTGTAGCCTCTAGTAATTATATTTTTGTTAAAAATAAATCCTATTAAATTATTTTCAAATGCTACCGCCTAGAACAATGTTTCTGAATTGAAGAGATTGGGATATTTTTACAACTTCATATTGCTTTATGTGCGCCTCTAGATAAAGGTTTATTCTGATTCCCAGGTAAGTAAGTGCTTCCCACGATGTATACATGATCATTTCGTACCTGTAAAATCTTCCTATAATGATAACGCCTGTCCGGGCCCATTACCATCGGCTGACCGCAACACTGCCAGTGGGTTGGCTGCACTAATCCGCGCCGACAGGTTAGCCAACTAATGCTAATGGCCATGCCTAATGGACGGCGTCGGCGCGTGCGCTCCGCTCCTCTCGCACGCGTCCAAACCCAGCTCAGGATCCAGGTCGAGGTGTGTCGCGCCGCGTCCGTCGCGTCCCACGTAATGAGCGAGTCGGTGGCGAGGTTTGAGCAGCACTTGGCAACGGGGCGGTGCCAGGCAACCCCGGCGAGTGCGCAGGGCTAGTGGGGGTGGATGCTGCCTGACTGGCTGCTGGGCCGAGGGTTGAGAGCTCTTTGATTTGTTTATTGATACTGTAGTTACATATTCCAGACGTCACCACTCCCGTCATCGTCATCCTGAGAATCGGCCGTTGCCAGGCGGCGGAGGGAGCACACGCGTGTCTGGGCCGGCTCTGATTGAGATTGATGCCGCATCTCTGGTTACAAAATATTTTGACTTCTTTTATCCTGCGGCGGCGTTCTGCCGATAATTAAATTAACGGCCTTAAAGTGTTGCTTTTGGTTCGAAATCGGATTTAATGCGGAAATGTTACCTTTCTCCTCTACTAGACTTGTCTCTGCCATTTAATGCCTGTATTTCTGGGGAAATTTGGATTTATTTTATTCAGTTTTCAAATACATTCAGCAGCTTCATTCAGTTCTTCAAAGGAAATCTGCGAAACGCCTTACAAAGCCGTGGGACACAATGCTAACTGCAAATAGGAAGTGCATGCGTCTGTGATGTGCCCTGTCTCTTCCTATTGTAAGTCTCCTCAGAAGTGACAAGGTCCTTTCTAAAGGATTTATATTGTGGAGAGCCTTGTTGAAAAGAACAAAACCGAAGGCGTCAATTGAATTTAATTTTTTTTTTAACTATCTATAAAGGCTTAATATCTTAAGAATATTGTGTCAACGTTTTATATTGATTATAGCATAATTAACGAAGTTATGGGTAGTTGAGATTGTTTAGTGTTCAATGAGCATCACAAAGTTTAAAGTGCTCTCCTAAAGTTTGAAGTTTGGCATATTGGTTCTTTAACTTATTGAACAGGTACTCACGTTGGCCCCTTTTTGTAATATTCTCATTTGTTAGCCATTTGTTAGCCGGCATGGCCGGGTCTTCTAGTTTATAAATCCAAACAATCTAAGAATTGGGACGGAATATTCTGAGGCAAAAGCCTAACTGTTAAAATGGATTCATTTAGCTTTCTATTGAATCCATTCCCAAAGAAATATCTCCATTTCGTATTATTTTCTAATTTCGGATTTAAAGTTCACAAGTCAGTCCTGTGGAACTTTGCACACCTCGAGAGGTGTCTGGCGAGAACCCACCATACCGTGGACTCCGTCCTACGGCGAATATACTACCGCATGACATTCGACAAGGACAGCTACGTTTCAGAATTTAACAGATTTCATGACTATTTGGACCGACAGATGTCTATTGGAAAATTCACAGACTCTGCAAATCAAATATGCACAATGCAGCACCAATCCCTACGGGAGTATATCGATTTTGCTTCGACATAGACCCGAACAGACGATTAACATTCGAATTTGCCAATAATGACATCCTTGGGGCCAGTATGACTAACTAAACCCATTTTAAGTGGAAGGACGGGACAGACGCGATACGTATATGGACCCTCGGGGCTCTATTGGAGAAAGTGGAGATGCATCTCGAGAAGTGACCTCCTCCTTTTCCTTCTTATCTGGTCAAAGATGTAAGTACAAATAAAACATTAATGGTTGCTCTTATTATATCAAAAAAAAAAAAAAAAAAAAAAAAAGTTGTTAAATTTGCATATAGCTTATAACCTGAAATATAGCTTATTTATAAATTCAATTCATTAACGACTTTCCGTTAATGAGCGTCAAAAAATACCAGATCGTCAGTGAATGAGCGGTCAGCGTTGCCAGACTTTGCGGTACGAGCGACCAAAGTACCAGATCGTCCGTCAAAAGAAATCGATGTTTTACAAAAAATGTCAGACATCGATACTATCGATAGTGCTCTACTGTTAACCCACCTCTATCGAGCGTGCACGTTTTAATTTTAATTTTAATTAATCGACTTCCCCGAAAACAAATAGTAATAATGCAAACAGAAGACAAGGCGAAGCGCAAGCGGCCGAAGAGGAAGGGTAATCGTTTCATGCGAAACGCCAAGGGCTTCGCCAAGCAGGGAATATTCGGACGAGGGACGCACATCGACGATGAGCAGTTCAGCTACTTTATCAACATTCTGGATGCCATGAAGGCGGGATTCGAGGAAGTGGAAGAGCGGGGTAAGTGCAAACAGAACACTGTCTCCTTAAACATTGGTCACTCCAACTATCATCTTCTTCCCACAGTGAACATGGCCAACAACGTGTTCGAGCAGACCAACGACCAGGAAATCCACCTGTCATCCAACCAAATCGTCTCCAAGGCGCTGGAGTCACTGGTGGGCTTCGTGGACGACGCCCAATTGGAGCGGTATTTTAACAAATTCGGCGATAATCTGCGACCTCTGTGCTCCGACCGGTTTGCGTCTCACGTCCTGCAGAAAATGTTGGAGATCGCCTTCCTCCGAGGTGTGGGCAAGAAGTCTGTTGACCAGGAGCAAAGCGATGCAGCCAAGCGCGCCAAGCCGGATGCCGCCCAGGTCGAGGAGGAATACAACCTGGGGGCCGACTTCAGTGAAGACCACCGGGAGAAGTGCCGGCAGTTTGTGCTGCGCATCTCAAAGTTCATGCTGAACAATCTGGAGGACTTTGTGTGGGACACCTGCGCCAGCCACATCATGCGGACAGCTATTCTCAGTCTGGTGGGCATGCATGTGCCGAAAATTGCCTTCGAGAAGGGAGGCGCGGAAATGGCCAAGCATCGGAAGCTGTACGAGGTGCCGGACGAATGGCCCGAGGTGATGAAGGAGTTCCCGCAGCGCCTGGAGATGTGGCCCCAGTTCGCCGACTTCCCCTACCAGGAGCACTCGTCGGCGCTGTTGGGAGTTATCTGCTTGGCCCTGAGTGTGGCAGACAAAAGCATGCTGAAGCACTTTGGGAAAAAAATCCTCACTATTAGCCTGTTGAAGCCAAACGATGCTGAGGAAGAGAAGAAAAACGGCGACACGGATGCCAAAATCGAAATCAAGGATGATGACGATGTGGAAGAAGGGAGCACGCAGCCAAGGCCTGACGACGGGGACAACCAGGATGTCCAAGCGCCCGTTTTGCCCAAAGTCTTCCATCACCAAAGCTCAGTCATTCTGCTCGAAACTATTTTGGGCGTGGCGGGGGCCAAGCTTCTGACCCAGCTGTACGCCATGCTATTCTGCGGTCGCGTCGCTAATCTCGCCCAGCAGCACGAGACGAACTTCTCAGTCCAGCGCCTCCTGCAGCACATCAAAGAGGCCTCCGACTTTGAGGCCGTCTTCAGCGAGCTGCAGCCACAGGTCGAAGGACTGCTCAAAATGGGCTACACCGGCGTGGTGTCCGCTCTGAGTGCCGCCTGCCTGCGTCTGGGAACCAAGCAGGCCCAGATGATAGCGGCCCTACAGAGTGCTCTCCATGTGAGCGGCGGTGACAAAGAGAAGTCCAAGCTTTTCTTCAACTGTCTGGTTAAGCTGAAGCCCTCCGAAGTGGTGGGCAGCGACGAGTCAGGCTTTGTTCACTTGCACGGCTCCTTGATCGCACAACACATCCTGCAGTTCAACAAACCCATCTTCCTGGTCAACTGCATCCTGGACCTTTCCGCCACGCAGCTATCGCAGGTGTTCAACACACCCAATGGCTCCCACATCGTGGATGCCTTTATGCAAAGCAAGTACATTGGCGAAAAGTCACGCGAGCGACTGATACGCCAGCTGGAGGGGTTCTACGTTGACCTGGCCATCACCCGACACGGCTCCCGCGTTCTTGAACAGTGCTTCCAGGCCGCGCAGGAAGCCCAAAAGCTTCGCATTGCCAAAGAGCTCTTTTCCAAGGCAAGCATGCTAAAGGGCTCGCCCTACGGCCGGCTCATCTACACAAAGTACCGGATGGATACGTACAAGCTGTCGCCCAGCCAGTGGCAGGAGAGTCTGTCAAAGCATCTGGATCCTGATCAGCCCAAGGAGGCCAAGAGGAAAACGGCGAAAAGTGCTGCCGATGCTTTCAAGGATATCCTTAGCTAGTATATAAACGAGTTCAATTTTATTTTAAATGCAAAGAAACATGTTGAAGAAATTCAAGTTATAACTTTAGGGGCCAAATAAAAAAGTATGAGGGGCTTGTAAATACTAAATCACTTTTCATTAGAGCTTTGTTGTTGTTCTAATCTGTACATCCATTCTGATAATTTTATCAGAGGACTTGCTTTCTTCGTTCAAAGAAAAAAGGACGATTATGTTGAGCAAAGACCGATTTGTTCAAGGTAGGTTCAAGTAAATGAGACTTATGTTGTGGGAGACAAGGACGATCTCTGTATTTTAGGATACTCTTTATGATGGATCTTGTGAGAAGATAATAGGCAATAGGCAAATAATAATCGTAGAACCAGGAACCAGAATACCGTAGGTTTTCGATAGAACTTGAATCCGACCTCTGAAAATTTCCTATACGTCCGGTTTTTGAGATATTCCATCTTAAAAGATATTCCATCTTAAATTCAATACAATTTATTTTTACAAAGCTATCGTTATCATAAAGTACTTATATTTCACTTTAACCCTCTAGGCCCCAAAAGTGACTTGAGGCAAACAACACTATAAATATTAAATGCTCTTTCTACGTTAAAATATTTTTTAAGCGTTTTTAAAATTTGGAAAATCTGTATGGATCTTCTTTTGATTTAAATATCGATATATTTCAATATATATTTAAATTCGACACACTCAGAAATTAATCAATATCAATATAAATTCAAGAGATGATATCTCGTAGATAAAAAATCAATTTTCCACATTTTTAATAAATTAAAAAAAGACTAGTTCTTTAATATGCCGTAACGATTGTTTGGAAAAAAGTTACGGGACCTCAAAAGTACCCAAGAGCCGTATTTTCTACACTGTGAGTTCACATATTTGAAAAACCTGCCGTATAGAAAATTTTCTGAGACCGCATAAGAGTTCAGCGTATCAAAATCTATTACAAAAGTATATTTCTTGGTTTTAAAAGCTGTCGAAGCTGTTAAAATTGCCTCGCAACCGAGCGCTACAAAAAAAGTTCAGCCGAGAAATTCACCGAAAGACCGAAATAAATAGAATCAAAGTATTCTGTTTGGATAGAAAGCAAGACAAATGCCTGGCTATTTTGTGTTTTTCTGTTAGGAGGTCGGTTTTGAAACACCTTGGGATCTCGATGTTCGTCACCACCCTTATCAGCGCGACAGAAAGACGCTTTTCCTGCAAGCTCCCTCCCCAAGCTTAGTTCTATTGCGGCTGACAAGGCGTAAACATGTGGCTGCTCCGCGTAGGCTTTCTCTGTGGCATTCTGACCACCGTATTGGCCTTTGGCGATGAGGCCATCTTCGAGGACGAGGATATATACAATCAGGCGCTGCCTCCAGTCCCCCACACCGGCATCACGGTACCAGGGACCAAATGGTGCGGGCCGGGCAACACGGCAGCCAACTATGAGGATCTGGGCAGGGAGCGGGAGACGGACAAGTGTTGTCGGGCGCATGACCACTGCGATGAAATAATCGAGTCGCATGGCCAGCTCCATGGACTACCTACTAACACAGATTGGTTTCCCATGTGAGTGGCAGTAACTTCAGAGTTTCCCTATCGATTATTCGAACCCTGAGCTGCTACATGCCCTAATTTTCAGCCTTAAGTGCACCTGCGAGCAGGCGTTCATCAATTGTCTTCAAGCGGTGAACAGCATGACCTCCAACACCCTAGGTAGGATCTATTACGGCAGCAGGAGGAGGTGCTTCGCCAACGGATATCCTACAGTGGGATGTAAGCAGTACCAAGAGGGCACGTTTCGTAAGCGTTGCATCCGTTACCAGGTGGACAAGAGCAAGGCCAAAGTTTGGCAGTTCTACGACATGCCCTTCTTCACGATGCAGGCGACCAAAGGCTGACCACCAAACAGGGATTTGTAGACCGAAAGCAAAACATCCTTCTTAACTTGAATTTAGCGGGAGATTTATTTAAGCTCATTTCAAATAAAATAGAAATAGTTAAGCTCGTAAAACATGTTATTTTAAATTACATAAATCTCCGACCTTTCGCAATTCTAAGAAGTACATATTTATTGATTTTCTTTTCTACAATCTTCCATTTGAACATAAACAGTCGCTTATCGCCGGGCGATGTCAAAGCTCAATCTCAGGGGTCCTCGGCGCTGTCTTTGGTTACGTGTGTGTAGAGTGCCAAGTCGTAGAACTGCCAGAGCTGGGACTGACCTTTGTCCACGTGGTAACTGAGGCAGCGCTTCTCGAACATGTCCCCCTGGGTCTCCCGACAGGATACGATGGGATGCCCAAAGGCAAAGCAAACCTTTTTGGTGCTGAAATACGTCCTCCCCACAAAAAGAGATTGGTAATTGGCTAAAGCGGTGAGGCAGTTCCTAAATGCTGACTCGCAAGCGCAGGAGAAACTGATGAAAGGGAAGATTTTTAGGTAAGGTGAGGGGAAAATGCAATAGGACTCTTACATCGGAAACACCCCGTCGTTCTGCAGGCCATGGATTTCCCCTTCCGGAGCAATACTCTCCCTGCAGTTGTCGTGAGCCCGGCAGCACATATCCAGGGCCCGCTCGGTGCCCAGGTCATCGTAGCCGTTCGCTATGTTTCCAGGACCACACCACTTGGTGCCCGGGATTACAAAGCCCCGTCCTTCGCTCGAGTGAAAGGCACAGGCCAACACCAGCCCCAAAAGGGGCGCCAGCAAAGCGGATCCGGAAAACATTGTTTGCAAGGGCAGCGCGGTCTGATTACTGATTTCGATGGGGTTTCCAGCGAAGATTTTTATGAAGATTTCGTGTGAGATTCCGGCGAAAAAAATCCAATAAATAAATCACTATGGCGACATTTCATGTATTAATAAATTGCGCCTAATGCGATAGCATACATATGTACATATGCATGTACATACTTTGTTTTAATAAATAACATTTCGACAGAATTAGACGCTCACGAACATAGAGACACAAGTTATCCGTAGATAAGTACAAATCGTTCGGGCTTTGGCCCACATTAAAGCACAGTGGTTAATACAAGGCAAGTACACACTAAATTAAGTTTCTAAAAGACAAAGGAGATACATATATGATAATTTAGTTCTAGGCTTCGCTCTTCTGACGGTTCTGCATGACCTGGCGCAACTGAGGGAATGTGCTCTTCGTCTGAGCCGGATGCAGGCGGGCGCACAGCGAGGTGAAGGGCTCGTAGAGCGAGGGCCGCTCCATGGCGTTCACCGTATAGTGCTTAATTCGCTCCCGTTGGCACCAGATATTGGCCCGGTCCATGATCTTTTCAACGGGATTGGGAGCAGCCCGTGCCCGAACATTAGCCAGCACCACGACGGGGATCTCCTTTTTCTCCTTGTGCTTGTCGATGTCCGTTTTGATGTCGGCCAGCATGTCTAGGCTACGCGGGTCCATTGGGTCGTAGACCAGCACAAAAGCGTCCGGGAACTGGAGGTAGTGGCGTGGCAGCTGCTGCTGCTCGCCCTGCAGTCCGGCCGTATCATAGATGCGCAGGGTTTCGCGGGCCCCTCCTCGTCCGGTGTCCACACTGGCCACGTAGATGTCCTCAATGGTTGGATGCAACTCCTGCAGGAAGAAGAAAATACATTTCACATTAATGTGCACCGAATCGTCGGGATTGTGGCCACTCACAGTCTCGGGATTGACGTGGCCGTACACCAACTGCTCAATGAGCGCCGTCTTGCCCACACCCTTCATCCCACACACCAGCACCTTGCCGACCTTGCCGATTTTGGCATTCAGCATTTTTGTTAAATAAAGAAAATAAACAAACTTTCGCTGGGCTAGAGATGGGAAATATAATCAATACATCGATATATCGATGATTTGTTATATCGTGATGTCATCGGTTTTTAATTAGGGTATTCCCCAAACGGTTCCTAGCAACATTGAACTTTATTTTGGTGTTGCGCAACATGTTCTTAGCAACATTTAACAATTAAAAATAATTGATAAAGAAAACAAGACACAATAAACATAAATAATATTATTTATTATATATAATATTTATTAAATAAATCCAATTAAACCCTAAAAACATGGCTGCGGCGACTTTCCCAATTAAAATAGTTCACAGAAAATTAAATAAAATTTTCTTTGGATGTATATTTCCGTTCTAAGAATATTTCAGTATTGACCACAAAAATAATGACATAATTTGAATGTTTGTATGTTTTTAAAAATAGTGAGCATTATGAATAGGAATTTATAATGTTCACTACTTTTATGAATAAGAATTCATAATGCTCACTATTTTTAATAAAGCATATAACACAGCGACCAAACTAGAAAGCATTAATTTTGGACCTACTATGGTGGTATGTATACCTGCAGCAGAGCTGCATTAATTTGATCTTAAGTAGCAATGGGACAATTTGATTTAAGTTGGGCTAGGTCCAACGTAGTTGGTATCTCAATTTTCGGAGGCGAATGCGTGTATTGAACACGACATCCCAGAGTGGACTGCTGATGCCGTACCCGGAGGTTTGGTGGGAGAAGTGGTGGTGGAAGTGGTACCGCTTCATGTGGATGAAGGCCCTCGCTGACGGATTGCCGTAGTGCAGGTAGTAGTGCATCATGTCGTAGCAGAGGTATCCGAGCAGAGCTCCAGATAGCACCACCCTTGGATGGAGGAGTACGTAGCTGAGCGGAGTGTAGATGATAGTGGCGAGCACTGCTCCCGGCAATGGCGGAAACACCAGTCGCATGGGATCGAAGGGCACCTTGTGGTGCAGTCCGTGGATCATAAAGTGAAAGGTGCAAAGAAAAGGTCCGCTATTGCTGCGCAGCTTTACGTGGAACACCCAGCGATGCAGAGTGTACTCGAGGAGGGTCCACAGGAGTACGCCAAACAACAAGTAACCGGTAAGCACCAGGAGCTGAAATATGGCAAAGTTAGACGATGCAACAAAGTAAGATTTTAATTGTCCTGCTCACCTGACTATCGTCCTGCCAGGCGCTGGAAAATTCCTGCCTCGCACACTGGAAAATCACCGGAATCCAGAAGGTCGGGACCAGCCACCAAGGCGTTTTCGTGCACATCTCCAGGTACCAGGGACCGAATAATCGCAGCGGCCTGTCCACCGGCTTGTGCACCCACTCATCGTAGCAATTAGTTATGTTTGCTATCTGTGGAAGCATTGCCTTTGACCAGTCCACCAAGTGCTGTAATTAAAATGCGTAAAATGAGTTATGAGCTAAAATAGTTTGGTAATAAATTCACTAACAACCGTCTCACTTGATTTCGTTACTTTCGATGTACTAAATGCATACTTTAAATTGATGATACAACAAACTTTAACCTCTAAATTGAAGCAGTAAATCGCTTAAATAAATTGCACTATTATAAATTATTTCATAGTGTGGCGTTAATAATAGAGGCATTTATGGCAATTCAGATTAGATTCCGTCGCAGTTTAGACTAGTGGGAGAACCATTCCTTCAGAGAAACCCTATCTATAATGCATGGCATTCCTCTAAAATTAACGGTCATCATCCTGCGATTCCCTGAAATAAAACAGGTGTGGCAGCACTATCATGCCGTGTACAGGTGTATCGTATATCGGCAATCGGCTATCGAGCTATCGACAGCAGGCAAAGTAACAAGCAGCTGGTTTAAAGTTGTCATTTGAATTCTCTTCTCACTTCACACAATAACAACGCAGTTTCCGTTTGCCGCAGTCGGGAACATATCGATTCAATAATAGCCCCCGTGCGGTTAGTCCAGTAGCCGGTGGATCATGTCTAACTCATCCGTTCGGCCTATTCCCACGCTGAAGGGCATCTTTTCGGTGCCGCGTAAGATACCTTTTCCAAACAGCCCTTGACCATGGCAACCAGTGAGTAATTTGTTTTGGTCTTCGTCCGTTTCGTTCCCACAGGCGTCACACAGTCCCGAAACTTCCTCAAGGAGAACAAGGTAAGCCTACGTTCGCTGGAGAAGACCACTAGCGAGAAGTTGGCCGCAAAGCAGTCAGTGCGTCCCAGATGGATGCCTCCCCAGCTCCGACGTGCCGCTTCTGAGGTGAGGGAGGGCAAGGAATCGAAGACGGACCGACCGCAGCCCAGGGCCAAAAAGACACTAACTCACGGAAACTCCCTGGAACAAGCGGCCATCAGCTCTCGTTCCCAGCACCAACTGGCCCCCGTGATTCCGGGGGACGGCGAGCGTTTCGATGGGCTAGAGGAACGCAATCCCCTCTTCTACGCTCCATCAGAACAGGTGGAAGCGGAGAACCTTTTGGACTCGGCATCCCAGGCGCCGTCGGATCGTTGCCAATCTTGCGGCACCCATCGAAGCTCCACCAGCATTGCTATTCAAACAGAGGACATAACTGATGAAATATACCTCACAAACGCTCTCAAAAAGTAAGAAGCATTGGACGTGGTCTGACGTTATCCTAACCCTTGCAATCCTTTCCAGATGCAATTTCGATGGAAGATCCGTGATGGAGGACACGCGTTCAAAGATTGAAGACAACTACAGACAACTGCAGTACGAGGACGAGGAAGAGCTGGAGCAGCTACCTTTGTCAGCCCGCTCGAGCTCTTCGAAACACAGCCGCTTCCACATGTCCGAGGCCGAAGCAATGCCCGAGGCCGAGCCCAAAAACTTTCTTGGCTCTGATGACGAAGGGCCACTCAGTGCCCGTAGCCGTTTCACGACGGCATCGAATGTCACCACAATAACCAACAAGTCTAAGCGTCGTGAACATAAACTAGGCTGTGAGTATATTGGCGACATCAACTATTATGCCTTAAGGGTGGGTAAGGTATTTAATTTTTTCGTTCTATTTTTTTAAATTTAATATCATAAAGCCTGTATATCTAATGAATATTGTGTTAAAGTTTTACATCAATACTTTTAAAATTGACGAAGTTATGCGCATTGGTACAGAGGTAGTTGTAGTTTATCACAAAGTTTAAAGAGCTTCTCTACTGGACCAATCGGTTTAAAATTTTGAAGAGAACTTCCTTAACTAATTACGCATGTACTAAAGTCGAGCTTTTTTAAATTTAAATTTGTACTATATATTTTATTTAACCAACTAACTTAATTTATAGTCAATAATCTGGGTTACGACTTCCAATTTTGATTTTAAAAAATCGGGAAAATATTAAAAAAAAAATTATTTTAATTTCTCGGAAGATTTTCTGTAACTCCTAGACCTCTAAATATTTTTAAAAGAAAATTAAACAATTAAACAATATGGTATTTAATTCTTCAAACTAACTTAAGCTGTTTCGCCACAACAATTCTTTTAAAAATTAACTGTTTTTCACCGAATTAACCTAACCTTAAGGAATTTTACTTATTTTCTAAAGAGAAAATTAATAGGATACGATTATTTTGTACTAAAATTTTAGCCTGAAGTCCTTTTTTAAAATAACTAGTAGAAATGACCGAAAATATACATATTTCCTTAACGATAAAATACCGATAAAGAATTAAATCTTCCGATACCGATATTTTCGATTTTTTTTTTTAATATTTTTGTTGACGGTCTGATCGTTCAGAATAAGTTTTGAATAGAAAACCTTAAGCTCAGGAGTATGAAAGCGAAACTTAATAATAATTTTGAAAACAAAAACATAGCCAACGCGGACAGTGATTGTGATTGATAAAGCTTTTCTCGTCGGGGTGGGAAAATTCATTTGTTGTAGCCTTTTTGTTTGAAGCTGCTTTGGCCAAGCTATGATATATTGGTATTTGTATTTGCTGCTGGCTGACTTATGAGCCTAATTTATTTAGAGAGCAAAAAATTTAATGGTTTTTGTCTTTTTATTCGACAGCCCGTGATGAGGTGCGTCTGCCACGCTACTTGGAGAAGCAGAAGCGCGAAAAAGCCGAGGCCAAGCAGCTCGCGGATATGCAGGATCCAGATTGTCCCCGCGGGCATGTATTGCTCAGCGATCAGGATCGGCTGACCTACCTCAACAATGCCCAGAAGCGTGAGTGAAACTAACTACTGGCATCGGTTCCATAGCGAATATTAACGATTTCCTTAATAGGCTACGAAAGTCTCGTTAACGAGCTGAACCACATGCCCATGACCGCGCAGACTTTGCGCGTGCGCACTCGTAAGGCGGAGATTGACAAGGAGCTGACCACAGTGGAGGAGCAAATCCGGGTCTACTCGAAGGCGAAAGTCTACGTGATGGCCCACAAGTCTCGCCAGCTGTAAAGGACTGAGCGACTCGTCGGATGTTGAAGCGTTTTATCGACTGATTAAGCTAGAACACCAAAAATTACTTGCGTTGGTTATATTTTTTTTAGCCAGTCTGGGAAGTGAGAGCTCCCAGCTTTCGGCTACTAGCGTTACAAATTAAAAAGCAGTCTATCCAACTCACCTCCATGCTCTCGTCCAACTGGTTGTTGTTCTTGTCTTCGGTTTCTCTCGGCCTTTGCCGAGTGTCCTGCTGATCGGTCCCTGCAAAGCTCTGCTTAGTGTTATGAGCGGCGACATTCGAATCAATTTTGTACTCCTTCATCAGGTACATGGCGGCATCAGAGTGTGGCGGGGCTTTCATAAAGCGAGCTGTCATGTCCGTTCTGTTGAGGCCTTTGAGGGTGTTTATGCCCCCGGGGTGCTTGTGCATAAACTCAGACAGGTCGTATAGCTGCTGGCGGTACTTCACGATGAACTTCTCGTTCGCCTCATCCTTCTTTGGCAAGTCCATGTCGATGGACTTTGTGGCGGTAACTGTAATGCGAAAAGCAGCCATATTTGTTATATGTGGGTTCTGGCTCTTAAATATAATTACTTTGCGTGCATTATATACAAGTTACAATATTGTTTAAGCTATCATCTGTATCAGACACGGTCAATTAAATAGCGATAGTGTAAAGTTTGTAAAAACCAACATCCTTATCAAAAGGGGTCGGGAGGGGTATTTGGGGAGACATTCAATGTTATATCACTCATGAAAAGCCTGAAACTTGTATCCGCAGTCTTAAGGGGGAATATACGTTGTAAACCAACAATTTTGATCAAATTTATGTTTGTTTAAAAAATATATTATTATTTATAGAATATCCATTATCCAAGTCCAACTTTATCATCAAAGTGAAATTCTCTTCTATTTGAAACTGAGTGGTAATAAAAATAAGTATTGCTGTTTTTAAGAGGATGGGAAGTGGGTCTCCAGCGCAAGGCTCTAGAGTTCTTCCTTTGCACCAAGATTAAGTTGACATAAACATTAAGACAACTAAGAAATACCAGAAGAATGATATTCGTCTTCGAAAGGGGAAGACGATCGATGGCTTCTTAAGTTTAAATCGATGAAGCCAAAGGTAAATTGAGGGGAGATCTATACATTCTTTATGAAATGGGACCCACTTCCTACTCCTTGAAAATAGTAAATGAAATAAATATTTCATTGCCTCCTGCAAATCAAGGAATCCGCTGGTTGCACTGAATATTTAATCTTGCCCATTGAATAGGCGAATAATTTTAGACGTGTAACGTCAGCTAAACATTCCTTTAATTGTTTTGATAGTCGATATAATGACAGCGATTAGGGGAAACAATTGCAGCTCGTAATTGCAACTCGCAAAGCAATGCAGAAATGGCACAGAATGCAAATCTCCTTGAGGCTCCCGTGGGCTGTGGGTGGATGGGTTGCATTATGTGAACTTGGCATTCAGTGTGCGCGCCACGCCAGATGTTTCTTTCCTTAGATGAATGCCACACAAACGTTTTCATTATCCACTTGACTGGGGCGGCGGGACTTTGGCCCAGTTGGCCATCCCACATCCCTGCCAACCATTTGGCGATTCTCGAATCGCCGGTCGCCAGAAAGAGTCTTCTGGGAGTCGCTTTGGCGATCTTAGTGAAATAATTTTCGAGAATCCCGAAGAAGAGTCTTCTGGGAATCGCGGTGGCGATTGTTGATAGACTTATTTACGAAAATCCCCAAAAAGAGTCTTCTGGGAGTCGCTTTGGCGATTGCTGGATGACTGTTTACGAAAATCCCCAAGAAGAATCTCCTGGGAGTCGCTTTGGCGATTGGTGGAGGACTTATTTACGAAAATTCCTAAGAAAAGTCTCCTGGGAATCGCGGGGGCGATTATTTGGCGATTTTTTAAGCAGCGTTAAAAACTAGGAAATGAAGGAATGAGGGATTAAAGTACCGTACATAGATGCAAAGCAGAGAATGCGTCCGAAAGCAAAAGAGTTATACAAAAACAAATTGCATTACATTTGAGTGAGAATAGGAGTAACAACCGAACGTCTTTCAATATTTCTGTGTTCATTTAGTCTGACTTCGATCTTTTGTCTTTGCGGTCGATCTATATGTAAATTTCAATTGTTCGGTAAACTATTTGTATACCCTTGCAGGGTATTATAATTTCAGTCAGAAGTTTGCAACGCAGTGAAGGAGACGTTTCCGACCCTATAAAGTATATATATTCTTGATCAGCATCAACAGCCGAGTCGATCTAGCCATGTCCGTCTGTCCGTCTGTCCGTCTGTCCGTCTGTCTGTCTGTCCGTCTGTCTGTCTGTCTGTTTCTACGCAAACTAGTCCCTCAGTTTTAAAGCTATCTGAATGAAACTTTGCATATAGTCTTCTATATGCTCTCACTGCTATATATGTCGGAACGGGCCGGATCGGACGACTATATCATATAGCTGCCATACAAATGTTCGATAAATTTTTAGAAAAAAAATTATAACTTGGCTGTTTTTCAATATTTTTGCATCATTTTTGAGATATAGCCATTTTATAATATTCCAGAATTTTGGTAAAAATTTTATGAAAATCGGACGACTATATGATATAGCTGCCATAGGAACGATCGGGAAATTAATAGAAATAAAATTATAGCTTCGTTGTTTTTCAACGCATTTTTATTTACTCTGAGATATAAGTTTTTTTTATTATTCTAGAATTTTGGTATAAATTTCATAAAAATCGGACAACTATATCTTATAGCTGCCATAGAAGCGATCGGTAAATGTAAAAATATATAAAGCTGGGAATGTAAAACTGTAACTGTCAAACTGTAAACATAATAAGTATAGGTAAAATGTAATGAAACTCTGTTTTGTGAGTGTTTTCAGCATTTAAATCTATAAAATAAACATCAAAACCAATCTGCAAGGGTATACAAACTTCGGCGTGCCGAAGTTAGCTTCCTTTCTTGTTGTTTTATTTATTTGTTTTTTGTTTTATATTCTTTGGAACTAAAATGAGTTCCTAATCTAAGGCAAACGAATGTTTGATGCTATTTATCCTGAGCCTTGTGAAAAAAAAGAAGAAACATGTGAAACAAGTGAAAGAAGTGAAACAAATAATGAAACTGACTTGGCGAGGAACAAATACAAAACGTATTTTCAACGATAAAAGGTATTATTTAAAATAGTAAAATAAATAATTGAAATTAATTTAATTTTAAATTTCTTTTGTATAGGTGTTGGTTTATGAAAGTTCCCGAATTCTTTTGGATTTGTTCATGCGCAGGATAGAATAAATAAGAAACAAAAAAAACCTAAAAATGAAGGAAAAGAAAATAAATATTTTAAATTTAAGCTTAGTTATGTCGAAAAATTATGAAATTAAGTAAAGAATGACAAAATTAAAAAAACAAAAACAAAAAAATTAAAAACTCTTATACTCTCTTAAGGCGACACTTCAGCGACTGTTCCACAAGACTCTTCCGCGAGTCTTCCATAAGACTCCTCTGGGACTCCTTCAGAAGAGCCCCCCGCGACTCCCTTAGAAGAGACGCATTCGTAGGTACATTTTCTCCCAACAGAAGATTGGAAAGCGATCAGAATGCGATGTCGCAGGCGATCAAATTAATCTTCTAGAAGAGTCGCAGGCGACTCTTCCGCGATTGAAATGGTTGGCTGGGATTGTACACATGAACATGTTTTTGGGGCTGTCTATATAGTTTTCATATTGTACTTATCATGGCTGATACGAGAGCCTGTAAGCGCGCAGGGATTTGGTGTGGACGAGTGGGAGTAGTCGGGTCGTTTGTCAAAGTCGCAAGTGGTAAGTCCCGAATCGCGCTGCTCCGATAGGAGTCGGAGCAGGTGCTCTGACTCAGAGGCCGTACCTGCGCTGCGTCACATTGATTAATAGTGGGTGCCCTATCTGACACATTTGCAAATAGGCTGGGCATTATCTCTCCGATGTCATATCTCTCTCTCCCCGCAGACTTGTCTAACTGCCATGCCCGGTACAATGGACGGTTCCATCAAACGAACTTTACCACTCGTGTTTACACGCGGTTAATGGGAGCGAGAATGGGAATGGGAGTCGGAGCGAGTTGCTCACTATCAGGTGTCATCTATTATCTATCCGGGTTAGCTTTGCCCTAGATGCCTGCTTACCCCGACCGGTCAAGGTGTATCGAAAAGTTCCCCAATATCTTATCACGGTGACAAAATATTGAGAAAAAAAAAACCCGCACAGATAAGAATTAGTACTTATGAGTAATGTAAGTGCCACTGCTGCTTTCCCACAACTTTTTGGTAATTAACATTTCTGTATGTTTATTTGCATAGCACTGCGGGATACTAGACATAACCATGTACCGGAGACTGACCAGCTTAAGAGCGATTAATGTAGTTGGATCGGATTCCAAATCTCTCGGCAGCGGAGCCCGGACCGCACGCAATGCAACGCAACTAGCGACTGAACTCGGGCCCACCCACCCAGCATATCCGCACCGGCGACTGCGACGCAAACAGCGCGGCTCAGGGCTAGCTCCTAGCCGCTAAACACTAGCTGCCTAGCTGCCTAGCTGCCACAAGATAAACGGGCCACACAAAATCGGGCGATAAGATAGGTCCGCTTGCGTTAAAATAGTGCTAGACCCACTCTCTTTAGTTATAGCCCTGGAGAGAGTGCCGCCGGTTCATGATTACCGACTTTAGGCGGCCGACAAGTACCGAACTCTTATCGGCCGATCTGCAAGAAGCCATATAGCCCACTATCGCAGGGTTTCTAATTTTGCTAAACAATCCTGACGTAGATCTCGATAACGATAGGCAGGCAACGGATCAGTGTTTTGTGAGTCGTTATCAGGACGAAAGTAATTGGCAGATGACTCACCGCACGTTGGGACTTCGATTTCGGCAACCATTAATGACTCAGACTCCTAATTACTAGCTTTAGCACAAAAGTAAATGGAAAAGGGATATGTGTATTAAATCCCTGCTAATGGCTCGCTTCCAGGTGTAAGAATTTGTGTCTTATCTCAGACAGTTAGGTCTACGTTATCTGGGTCAAGTGAAAGATAATTTTAAACTGCGTATACATAATGTTTGTTTTCCAATATCCTTTAATCCCAGTACTTGTACTGTACTTTTCCCACCTCCTGACATAACTTAAGACAAAATCCAGTTATGGGTTTCCTTTGAAATCTATAACGATTAAGAGCTTGAACTGGGAGTTCGGAAAAGCCACAATGGCCACAAGATCTGTGGCTGCATTTCTAGGGAATCCCTTCGCCTTGGGACTCGTGGGCAACCGAAACCGCGATGTGGCCCAGTTCGGCCATAAAGCCAGTAATAGCGACTATCTACACTGAGGTAAAACTGTATTTTTTTCATTAACCATTCATCCAAATCCAAATGAATCATTCATCAACAGCGAAGGAATTCCTGAGAAGCGGAAATAGTACGGCATTCTGTCAAATTTATGAGTGTCTGTTCGGCTTTCACACTGCCTGAGCCCAGCCCTTGGTCTCAACTGCGTGGGTGGGTGGGACTGTGGCCTTTACAAGTGTCACTTCGCCAGTAAAGCCGCCAAGCCTGTGTCTAGCACCAGTTGTGTGTCGGAAGGGGCAGCGACAACACCAAGGAATACGGATAATTATACCTATGTGCATCAATCGTCTCGGACTGTATCGCCGTTTTAATATCAACTGTGCTGGCAGGGAACCGAATTGATTGGCTTGAGTGCTGGGCCTCTGCGATAATGGCGGAGCAACCACTAATTACGCTCCAATGTGCCAAGCATATTACTATCAATCAAATAGAACATTCCCTGGTAAGAGCATTATATAGCCTTATAGGATAAAACAGCGACATTGAAGGAGTGACTTTCATTACGAAAACTCATTTCTCAGTCATCAAATATTCATTAATAAATATTGAGCATCATAATGTTAAGCTATGCTCTTCTTATCGTAGAAACGTTTTTGAATACAATTTCGAAATAATCCACATAAATCGAGATTCGATTTTTATCACAGATCGTCTTCAGAAGACAACTACAGCAAAGGTTATACATAAAGCTGTTTCGTTTTTGACATGAGTATATATTTCGAGAGGACTCTTGTTATTTATAAAGTCAAAAGTTTGCAAAGCATTAAGATAGTCATTTGTCTTAAAATATTCTTTAAATTCATAGATTAGCCCATTTCACAAATATTTCATCAAAATATATTCATTTTAAATTACCTACCTCCTCCTGCAAAGGTAATCAACTTCGGCTTGCTAAAGCTAGATACCCTTTCTTTCCAAATGTAAATTAAATTCGATATGAAATCCCCTCACTAAAATATTTAAGGTAATAGTGGTTATGCTAAAGATTTAATGATACACCTGCAACTGGAAGATTACTTGACTTGTATTTTAAACCATGTTGGTTTAAGACATCTAAAAAATTGGGAGATTGTCGGTCTAGTTAGGCGGTTCTGTTGTCTACGTCATAATGCCCGAGATGGTCCTTCAACAAGGTTAAGCTAAATTGGTAAAAATTGGGATATAACTAATAATAATTAATCGCAAAATTTAAAATTCTTATATACATTTTAAGTACAAATCTATTAAATATTTATCATTACATCATGGCAGCCTTTGTTTATGAAAGTTGTATGTGATACTTGGATTCTATGATTCTTTTTATATACACTAACTGAAGGCAAGCACATTAGTCCTAATCTGCAATCAGGAGTAATAAAAACTAGATAAATACCGATATCGTCCAGAGGAATATAAAAATTTATTATCCATCACCCCATGGTCTTATCAGAAGTAAACGGAGTATCATTTTCCATAGTAGTGATTAGGGAGCGAGGTCTTTCGTAGCATAGTGTTTGGCGGGTTTATATATTATGATATTGTTATATTATATAACAGCTAAAGCTTTTCTAAAAGGTTTAGGGTAAGAAAATCATTTGGTTTTGTACCATAATAATATCAAGCAAAAGAAGAAATTAATTTTTTCAAGTAGTCAAATTAAAGAATATGTGAGTCTTCTACGAGATACTGTAACTACACATGTATAGAAGTTGTGTCATACTCAAAAATTAAACCCTTTATCCTTATTACCCTTATATTGTTTCTGATGGTATTGCTTGTGTATAAAGACATCGAATGATGAAATCAGTGCAAATAAATATCTGGTTTTAGGTTTTATTTTAAACGATTATTCAGTAATTGTACAATTGTATCTTAAGTCTAGTTTGGTAAATTATCCAATTAAACCGTATGTATTCCAATTATATATTTCCAAAGCAAGGAGCTATACTATCAGTGGCCGTTCCCGTTGGTGGCCAGCTTGGCGGATCCATTGCTGTGTCCATTGGCATGAATCTTGCCATTTGTGGCAGATTCAACGGCGCATTGTTGGCCCAGGATCTTGGCCCTCTTCACCGGAGGCTCGTTCGTAATGGTAGCAAAGTCGAACTGTAAGAAGCAAAAAGTTTTAATATTCAACCGGGGTGGTATTCGGACGGATCTTGCTTACCCGCTGCTCCAGGGTCATGTGGGAGATGGGCGGAAGGCCGATGCAGCCGCGCAATATGTTCTCAATCGCAGCCCGCTGGCGGAAAAGCGAGTTGACCACCTGGCAGCCCTGGGGCACCAGCGGGGCCTTGCACAAGTAGCTCAGCAGGGAGAGGACCGGCTTGAAGGGCACCCAGGGGGCGGACTCGTTCTCTGCGCTGCGGAGCTGTATGCGAGTGCTCAGCTCGCCCAAGATGACCAGGTCCAGGATCAAGGGTGTGGCCAGTAGGGAGTCCTCGCAAGTGTTGTGGATAACCAGGGTGTTGTGGCCACCCATCATGATCTCGGATGTGTACTCGTCCATGGCTCGCTTGCTGTCACCCACATAGGGCACGTATTTAATGACCACAACGTGGTCGGGATGCTCGTCCGGCCCGTAGAGCAGCTTGTTGGAGGCCACCATGTCGTCCACCACGTTACTCTTGGAAATCTGTCAAGGCAAGGCGTCGAATGAAGTATTGATCTCGCGGACAAAGCACCTAGAACCTACCTCCTTGGAGCGGAACTGCTGAGGAGCGGACAGATTCTTTCCGTCGTTATTGCCCAAGTGGTTGTAGCTGGCAATCGACACAGGCTTGATGCCGGCCCCCACCAGGAAGTCTACCAGAACGCTCTTGATCTTCGTCTGACCAGACTTGAAGTCGTCGCCGGCTATGAAGACCTTCTTCTCCTCGGCCAACTGGATCAGTCCAGGGACAAAGGTGTTCTGTGGCGAGCCATTGATGTAGGTGCACTGCGAATGGGAGTAGAAGAATATACCTGAAATCTATTTTCTGGGGAATGGATAGGTGCCAACTCACCCCCTCAGCAATGCTGGCCATTGCAAAGATCGTCGACGGTGAGACCTCCGAATTGTTGGCCTGGAGCGAGGCCAGGAGCTCCTGGCTGGTGGTGTTCAGACCCTGTCGAACATCAGAGAAGCGCTCTGTGTTGGCGGTCCACAGAACAATGACGGAATCGACGCCACTTCGCTGCCGGAAGTCGCGAATGTCCTTCCTGATCTGCTCGTACTGCTCCAGACGCGTTCCCCCGATCACATTGTCAGCGCGCTCCGACTGATTGGCCGCAATGAAGTCCGGGTCGTAGATGGATGGGCGTGGTTGGAGCTGCGCCAGCTGATCGTAGATCTGGTCCTGCAGAGCCACGTCCAGGACCTCGGCACGGCGCATGGCGTCACCCAGATGCAGGCCGCTGATATCCCAACCATCCACAACAATGTTGTCCGGCTCCACCATGGGCAGCAGCTCCTTCATCGGAACGTACACGTCTGCGCCAGCCTCGTCAGATCCAATGAAAACTGTGGAGGCCTGGGTGATGGAGCCGAACCAGTTGGCCTGCTGCACGCCAGTCCGCTTGCGCCACTTCAGCTGCCGGCGGTTAGCTTCCAGGGCGGCGGTCAGCGTGGAGCCGTTGTTGCCGCCCCAGCCCACCAGCATCACGCCCAGTTTGGGCACATGGCGGCCGGTCCGTATCTTCAGCGCCGTAGTCTGGGGGTGCACCTGCAAAGATGGCATAGCCGCGATTAGCTAATTAACCGATTAGCCCTACTTGACCATAGCATAGCACAACCCGTTTGGACTTATTATAGGTCCGGCGAGAACCTTATCATCATTCCATATCGTGCCAACCAAGTCAGGTAGCCGTATAAATTATGATCGCGTGATTTCTGGGAAGCGAACCTGATTTCAATACCCGTTGTAGAGCGGGGTGTATTTGTGATCACAGGGGCTCTTGGCGACAGACGGGAGTTTGACTGCTTTAGATTTCACCAGATGTGTGGGATATCACATCAGGGGGGAGTAATAATACCCACTTACCCTTGAATACTATTATTTAACATTACCAAAACATAGGTTTAGTTGGGAAACTACAGAGCAGAGGCTGGGCAGAGAAATGAGCTGGCTTGAGCTTTGGGTAACACTGCTGTTCAGGTCCCAAGGGTCCTTGGGCCATAAATACTTTTAAGTTACTTTTACTATTTGCCTGATTTATTATGTTATAATATCTTCAAAATAATTAATAATTAAAAGAAATTAAAAAATAATTCCAATGAAAAAAAAGAAAAACACTAACAGGTATCCAACAGTCTCATATGCTTTATTTTAGCTTTTCTTGTCCGATTTCTGCCGAGTCAACGTGCTCTTTGATTGGAACCTCAAATAAAAACTGATGAATAAGTAATGATGATAATGATGATTGCATTAATAATTTGACAACGTGCTTGGCCAAAGTCCGCCAGAAAGTTGTCCAAAAATAAGAAGCCGCTTGCCGGCCGGCGAAATATGTAATCAGTGAACTTGCAGCAGAGGGAGCGCTCTCTTTGGTCCCGCCACTTAAGAGAGCACCGCTTCTCTTCGGAAGGGGAACTCTCTTGGCGGCCATCGCCTGACATTGACCTTGAAGTGCAGCGAGAGTGGGGGTGTATGATGTAAACAGAACACGTACAGCGACCGCAATCACCCAGATTGGGTTTACTGGACATCTCTATAGCGGAATATATGTTTATATGTATTTGTTTAGGTGCCCGAAAAAGGCGCCTGCGCGCAGAATCACGCCACCCGCTGCCCGGGATGGTGACGAGATATCAGCCGTGTTTATCATCAGCTGCTGAGGCGGTACAGTGCAAGTAATCAATAAATACGCTGTAATTGCCACAGGCCGTGTAACGGTGGACGCCAGTGGGTGGGTGAAACCACAAAACACCGCCCACGCTTATCGCTATTTTTATCTGCAGCGAATTGGGGAGCGGCCCTATTGGTATTTTCCCCCCTCCTTTTGGCACAGCTGGAAATTGTATACCTCCTTACACTCGGGAACGATATTCAAAACTATAAAAATGATTAGTTTCGATAAGAGGGTGACATTTCATTTAAACAAAAGGAATTTGTTCAACAAACTTGTTAAATATTCAACATTCAAATGTACAATTGCAGGTTTAACATATTTTTATCTCTAAGTTTTTGTCTTTGAACAAATTGAGCTAAAAACAAATAATAGGAAGAGACTTCGCATGTAAAACTTAAGAAAGAAATTGAAAGGTATTTCTTTAAAAACCGAAGAATTCGTTAAGTATTTAACATTATGCAGTAATTCTCCAATTTAATGCGAATTTTTAGGTTCAGTAGATAAACAAAAGTTATGCACGCTTTTAAGTTTACAATTTAAAAGATTTCCCTACACGTCATGAAATGTTATTGTGGCTAGCTCAACGTTAAATTTAAATTTCGCACAGTTTGTTAATAATAATAATTATTTTGGCGCTCTTGTATCCACGATAATCCCGATACTATTCTCTGAGTGTGGAAAAGTGCGCATGGGTGTAGCGGGAGAGCATCTGCGACAGCCCGCGTTGGAAAAGTTCAATGTGAAGGTCAGCGCGGAACGTAAAAATGCCCTACCGAAAGCCAATTCCATGACTGATGATCGGAGATTACCCCGCATGCAACCGGTGGTCAGGGGAAATGCTCACCTGCAGCTGTCCAGATGAGGTGCGCTTCACGTGCGACGTCTGGTACTCGTAGTCCGATGTGATGAAGTCATTATCCACCCGCACCTTCGGGGAGATGACTTCCAGCGTGGAGGCATTGGTGGGCTTCATTTTCGGTTGGGTGTGGGATTTCCGCTTACTCTTCTCTCTGGGGAGCACTTTGTTGTTTATCAATTAGCGCGTTTAATGTGCTTTGTTTCAGGAACTGAAATTGTTGTGGTCGAAGCAAGAGTTCGCGGCGAATGACTCGCTTGGGCTGGAAGCGGACAGCTTTTATAGATTCCCGGCAGCGAATATTTTTCTCTTACTCTCACTGCCACGCTCTCTCCCACACTCAGAACAAAAATCAAACAGGAAAGCTCCAACTTTCATAACTATACAAAATAAAACAAACTATTCTCATACATTTGGGGAAAATTCCTTTAAAAACTTTGACGATCCGCCATTTAGAGAATTCTTTCCAAAATTTAACGCATGATTTTCGTTTTAGAACCGTTTTTGCTCCGAGTGCAGACGCTCGGCCGGCACACTTAAGAGGGAACCAGACGATATCGGAAATTTTCCGGCATGCGTGGGATTTCTCAATCAGCAGAGGTAGTGGGGAATCCTTCTCTTCAGCTCTCTTCCTCGCTGGAGATCTCCGGCCAGGTGGCCGCATTCAATTTACCTATTTCCATAATTAATTGAATGGCCAATTGAGTTTAAATTCAAGGGAATACATGGGCTATGGAAAGTTTTAAAGATTTCTGCTTAATTTTCTAGATTAATTTCGAAAAATTTTAATAAACAAGGAAATTCATAGAGCTCTCCCTGAGCAGATTTTGAAATATTTTCTTTTACAAAGTTATTTTGCAGGCAATACTTTAAAATTTTAAAATGTTTTTTGTGGCAGTAAGAAACAGAAAAAATAGCTTATAAATATGTTTAGTAAAATAGCATAAACAAAAAATGATTAAAAAATTGTATTTAAACGTTTAGAAAAAGTGTTATTAAGCCACAAAATAGTGCCACACCTGTTGCAAGAATTTATGCAACATAAAGTAGTAGAAAGTTCATTAGCATCCGAGTCGATATATATATACGCAAAGTATAAATATAATATGTCTTTTTGCAAATGATTTAAAACAAAATCTAGTTTTGTAACTAACCAGAGTAAAAAGCAGTTGGATTGACTTTCTTAAATAACCAATTTTTTTAACGACATCATTATGAAGTTTACGAAAACTCGCTGACAAGTACGTAAATACATTGTGGAATATATTGGTGTAGTAAACTTTAAAGGGATCAGCGTTAATCAGAGAAATAATAATTATAAAACAAAAATTTTGCTGAACATTCTAATATTTCAATTTTTATACTTTAATAAGTAAAATAGAGATATCTGGAGAATGAGATCCCGGGAAATAATTTAGAAATGTCCCTTTACCACATATTAATGGTTACGAACATTTTCATTTTTCCTATTGCCTGATCTTAAGCCATCGAAATATTACAATAAGTAAAATAAAATAAAACTAGGATTTTCTTTGACAGCAGTAAAATCATAAACCATTGGCATGCTAGTATCATTTCGGCAGCTTCTTGGCTGGCTTCCTGAGAGCGCAGACAAGCGGCTTTGGCGAATCTTCTGGAATCAAGAATTCAGAAACTAGCGATGCTTCTTTGAGAAAACTTTCCATTGCACTCAATTGAAGTCGCCTTCAGTGCGAACTCAAATTACTATTTGTTGACCAATCAATGGAGTGGGCCTGGCTTTCTTGAGTTACGATGGGCCGTTGCTTAATTTCAGGGGATCGAGAAGTTTCTATGCGAAAACTTTTCCATTGGAGCACCGAGTCCGCCCAGCAGCAATCACCAGACCAGGCAGGCAGCAGGCAGACAGGCACATGCTGCAGTGGGCGTCTCGTTTCCCTCACATGCAACCTTATCGACAGCTCTAAGCTGGCACGTAGTTCCAGAAAATATATAACGACCAAGTGTGCTCGGTATCAGTCCATATCCATTTCCTGCTGAGGACGAAAAAAACTCAGTTGTATAACGTAAATTTACTGCATGTATTTCGCAGGGCGACCTTGAACTCAAGTAGCGCATTCTTAATCATTCGAAAATCTCTGGCAACTAAGGGTTTAATGACAAATAATACAGTGCTTACGAGTGCTACGCCAAGATATTTGGAACTCAAATAACTGGCTGATACAATTTGAAGCTCAGATTCGTGCGTATAGCCTATATCTAGTTATGTACAATTATTATAAATTTCACTATAAATACGAAAAAAATCACGGTGATCACAATCTGATAAGCACAACACTTGCTCGAACGAAGCAAAGGAATGCATAAGCATAAACACAATAAGCTGGAAATCAAAACTAAAAAACATTTGGGTAATATCAAGCTAGTTGTCCAAGAACTCCCACTCGCTGGAGGTGTTCGAGTCACTGGTGGCCGGCGGGGTTTCTTTGCGCAGAGGGTCTCCTGCCCGCCGAAAGTCGGGCAGGAAGCTACTGTATTCCGTCTCATCCTCCACTATAAGGGTTGCCTTTGGCTGGCTTTTGACAAACTTAAGTGGCGCCACCTTGGGCTTCAGTGGCGGACAGGGTCGGATTCCATCCACTGGCTGACCGGCATTATAGTCTGCGTCCGCGATGTGGTCATGTGTTTGTCCCTGTAAGGTGGTCTGGACACTGGTCTCTTCCAGTTGCGTGGTGGGATAGCACCGGATGAGGGATTCGCTTAGCTCGGGCGTCACCGCCTTGGCAGCAATCAACTCCTCCTGGCTTAGCGGGACCAAGTGCACCTCGGGCAAGTCCAGTTCGGCGGCCAGGGACTTGGCCTTTTCCGCGACCGTCTTCTGCAGAGTGACGGGACTAAGAGCGTCCGGCAGGTGCTGTAGAAAAGCGGTCTTCATGTCCAGCGGCGATGCTAGGCCATTGCTGCAAGGCATTCAATTTGTATAAGGAGGTAAGGGTAAAATGAAATAAAGTATGCTTACTTCTCCATCTGGCAGTAGCTGGCTTCCATAAGTGTGGCGGCATTTGTGAGTGGCAACCTAAGCTCATGCGTCTCGTGGCCTATTTCCACGATGCCCGAACCACTGCTGACCGGCGGTGCCTTGTCCGCGCATGTCTTTCTGCTGGTGTGGACGATATACTGGTCGAAGTCCATTTCGCCGATGCGGCGGAATATTTCCAAGCGACGGTTCTGCTGAGCCAGCGGCGACTCGACGGCCAATTCTATTGGTACATTCAGGTCCAGCTGTTCCCCGGGCGGCACTTCGAAGCACTCCTCAGCGCCCTGCAGTACGGGCTCTGCCTGCAGCTCAAGCGGTGACTCGAGTCGCTCGCTTTGTGATGACAAACCCATTAGCGGAACAGGTGGCGGCATCAGTGGATTGAAGATCACCTTGGCCTTCTTGTTCGGCGGCTCAGGCAGTGGTGCCAATCGTAACAGCGAGCGCTCGCCCTCCAGCACAAATATTTCCTTGCCAAAGACACAGAAGTCGAGGATCTTTCGGAACCCACGTGCAACTGCCTCCACCTTGAGTTTGTCCAAGTTCAGAATGTACAGGGTGGCGTCGTCGTGTGTCACCAACAGTGAGTCGCAACCATCGTACAGGTACAGCTGACGGAAGTTGCTGCTAGCCACGTAGCCCATTTCGCCATTGCCCGCTCCTGATGGCCCAGGCGGAGCTGAAGATGAAGCTGCAGATCCGGCCAAGTGGTGGCTACTGGACGGTTCGTGGAACTGCTTTGGGTTGAGGATGGGAATCTCCCAGGTGGGGCTGCGCAACACGGCGTCTCTGAACAACACGGTCTTGGAGACGTTGCCCGCTATGTCAGCCACCCAGAAGCGCAGGCCAGGACGACCGCAGACGAGCTGCATCGTTTGGTCCTGCGATTTTTTGAGAAACACGGCTCCACAGTCGATAAGCTGTTTCCGGTCCTTCTTGCCCACCTGCGTTATCGTCCACTGGGAGGTGCTAGCGTTGCGCTGGCAGACGATGCAGCGATAGAGTGTGGCCACTAACAGATGGCTCTGCTGAACGCTGAGCTGCACGATCTCGTACGCTTCGCTCAGAATCTCTACGGACTTGCTGAGGTGCTGTTATAGGGAATACGTTAGCGTTTTTTATAGGTTCTGCAGGTAAATCTAGTACTTACTGCCTGGTAATCGAACTCTGTGAGCACCACTACACCCTGGCGATCGCCGGAGTAGAGCTTCATCCCGTTCTTTGACCACTCACAACAGCTGACCACGCACTTGTGCAGGTCCCTGATGGTGTAGCGCTCGATGGGCCTACTACGCGTGCAGGGAGCCACAAGGTCCAGGTCTCGAGGCAGCTCCTTCTGGATTTGGAAGATGCTCACCTGCCCGTTTGCGCACCCCGCTGCAACCATATACTCCACCGAGTTGACAATACGCACGCACGTTATTCGAGTGGCCACCTGTAGTGGAAGGGGGAGGGAAGAGCACACGCTTAATGGGGGATTCACACGCAAGACCGGGGGTGAGTCTGAGGATGAGTCATTGTCATCGCTATCACTTACCTCCGCCTTGAGTTTCTGCATTTCCCCCGACTGGCGGTTGTACCAAAAAACAATGCCCGCGTCGCTGCCGACTGCCAGGAACTGCTCGGTGGCGTCAACGCAGGTCAGATTGAGATTGGCCGGAAAGAACCCGCGCTGCAGCTGGGCCGGAATGTGATCAATGACGTCGGTCAGCGGAGCCCACTCCCGGATGGAGCACAACTCCTTGCTGGTGGCCATGGCGGAGTTGCTGGAAATTACGCCTTAGAAACCGTAAGGATTCTCGGAAGTCTCCGGCTCAAACAACAAACCCCAAAATAACAACTTTCGTCTAGATATACTGTCGATACTATCGATAAGTTTTTATGCTCCGTTTGTACTATTGTCAAATCTTGGATGCATGATACAATTCTATAAGGTAGTCCTGTTGGTGAGACGAGTGCGAGTGAGTCGACAATAGTATGACAGTCATAATAGTATTATGACATTACCACATTAATTAGAGATTTCATTAAAGATTTGACAGCTTCATAGGGCTCACACAAGTGCGAGCAAGAGGACTATATGGCACTTCTAATGCGAGTTTTCATGCATTGGCATTTAATATTATTTTGCGGGTTTCTTTAACTCAAAAATATTTGTAAATTTAGAAAAATAATATGTTTACGGTGGCGAGTTTCTTGCACTGCAAAATAATTTGAATACTAAGTCCCTAAGACCGTTAAGAAACCCCTTAATCTATCGAATGACATTTAAAAAAGTGCTGCCAGACTTTCGTTCATATATTAACTGTTTTCGACATATGGCAACGCTTGCATGGAACAGCTGTTCTTCCAAATGTTTTGCAGCACTGCTTTAACGGCGTTTACTAACACGGTGACTGAATCTACGAAAAAAAAAGTTTTGTCTCCTGAAATCCGGCCAAATTTCCTCGAAAACTGACAATATCGGACGCCAGAGTGGCTGCGAGTGAGGGAAAGAGCACCCCAAGAACCCCAGCTGTCACGCAGCACCGCCTTCGCAAACCCACCAAAAGTAGCGCGGCGCAGATAAAGAATCTGTCGTGGGGTAAAGTTCACAAAACTTTACTCGTCTGAAGTTGGTCAGTCGGAATCCGTAGCCATGGTCGACAACAACAACCTGCGTAGTGCGGTGATCAGCGAGGCGCCTCTGATTCCGCCCTCGAGCAGTTTTGGACCGGGACCGTCCAGTGGCATGGGTCCTCCGGAGGCTGTTCTACGAACTCCATACGGCAATGTTAGGGCGCTGCCCAGCACCGCGCAGCCGCCCCCCCTGCCCCAATCACCGTTCCAACAGACACAGCAGTACGGATTCGGCGGGGGATACGGCAACAGTTACGGCCTCGGGGGCGGCTTCGGGGGCTTCAACAGCGGCTCATTCGGATACGGCGGAATGGGAGGTGGTTTCGGTAGTGGCTACGGTTATGGAGGCGGCTACGGCGCGGGCTTTGGCAGTGGATATAGCCGATTTGGAGCGCTGGGGGCCAACGATCCTGAGCAGCGGTTTATTCAGATGGCCGAGGCCAGCTCGCGGCCAGCATTCCAGAGCATCGAATCGCTGGTATCGGCGATTGGAAACATTGCCTCCATGCTGGACTCGACGTTCTTCGCCCTGACCAGCTCGTTCCGGGCCATTCTAGGAGTGGCGGCGAACTTTGGACGCCTGCGAAGTGTGTTTGCACAGTTTTGGACGACTTTTGCGATCTTTCGTGGCCTGAACTGGATCTACAGGAAGTGAGTGGCGCAGGCAGGTAGTGAAAAAGTGCGAGTGATTGATCAAGTTTCCTTGCTTCCTCTTTTCAGGATTCTCTTCTGGCTTCGCCTGTCGAATCTTGATCCATCATCTGCGGCCTTCAAGAAAGCCTTTGCGGAAGCCCTGAACGAGAACAATACCCAGACAGGAGGCGCGCCTCAAGCCCAGCGAAAGGGTACTTCGCCCTGGCCGGTGCTGGCCTTTCTCAGTTTCATCTTCACTGCGCCCTATCTGATCATGAAGCTGCTGGGCACCGTGACGAACACCGCTCAGGAAGAAGGTACGCCTCATGCACATTGCACAGTTTAATTTATCTAATCGAGAGAGCACTTTGCTCCGGCCATGTGCTATAATCTGAACGATAAGGCCCGCAAACTGTTAAGATAAGCCCGCGAATAATGTATTTACTTTCATTCCCGCAGCCCGTAATCCGGCCAAGTGGACGACACCGATTCAGACCCAGGCTGTTTACGATTTTATGGGACGCAGCCAGAGCGAGCTTTCGCTGCGCGCCGGCCAGTCGCTCCAAGTGGCCCCCCGCGATATCCAGCAAACCCTTAACCTGCTCAATACTGGCTGGGCTCTGGCCACCATTGATGGCCGAACCTCCGGCATCATTCCAATCAACTATGTAAAGTCGCCTCAGCAAATGCGACAGGAGGTCCAGGAGCAAATTAAATCCGCTCAGCCACAACCACAGCCAGAGCTGATGGATTTGTCTGCGGGGGCCTTTGCGGCGCCACCGTTGGAGCAGCAAATGAACTACGACTTTAACTTGGCCGCCCAGCAGGAAGGTCCGCCCTCCACATCAGCAGCGGCATTCGGAGAGGGCTTCGCCTGAGCTCTGGTCAACTCGCGTGAAAATTACCTCTAAGTTTAGTTTTGTTTGGTGTTCAGTTTTTGTATATGCACCTCCTTATGTTTTAAGTTGGCTTTCCGCCTTTTGTACATTTCCATTTAGTTGTTAAAATCGATTACTCAGCTTAGTAAACATCCTATAGACCATGCGGCATTATTTTTGTTTTGTTTGTGTACTTTCGCCTGTAGTCCCAGCAGACAAAAACTTCGTTTATGATATTAAAAACGATAGTTTTTCGGTTTTTAGGTGGTCAAATTAAAATTCATCCCATTCAGACTCTTACACAATAATAAAGTCAATCTCCTGTCATAGGTTTTGTGGTAGCAAAAGCTGGAACCGAAATAAGATTTCAATTGCGGACCTTTTACGAAATTATTAGCGGGTATAATCCTGAGAATTCCAGATACTAGTCCGCTATTCGTCCGTTTTTGAGCATTTAGCGAAAGTAATGCGTAAAGTCTGATTCTTTGACCGCATTTAATATCTTTAGCGGACATTTTTCGAATCCACCCGCTTAAGGGCCGCTCTTTTGTCCGCTGGGTTATTTACATCAAGGGTGCTTCTGTGGAATGAGAGAAAATACGATGCGCTGCTGGGTTTATCATATTTTACAATATGCAAATCACTTTATTAACTCGATACTCGATTTCGTCTGGATCTTCATTTGTTATTTCCTTTCATCAATATGCATTATTTATTTCGATTTATTACACAACTACATGCTCTCGACACTTACTCGTTAACGCCTTCTACTTTGACTTTTACTAATTTGTATTTGTATTTGTATGCTTTGTATTCACTTGAAGAGAGTTCGATAATATAAATACAAATTCAGAAAATGTGTATATCGCTTTAAATGTTATTACTAATTTTAGGTAGGTTGATTATTTTGCAATTATCTGTTCTCCATTGTCAACTAAAAATCATGGTCAAACGTCATTCGTTCGTTTGTTTATCAATTATTCAAGCAATTTAAACATATTTCATATGTTCGTTCTTGTCTGCAGTTCAAACTGCGAGTGGCCTTTCAAAAATAATTGCATTTCTTTACGGTTGTGTGTACAATTTTGGTATATAATATATAATTAAGAGACATTTACCACCCGTAACATAATCGCATTCACTTAGGCCTACCCAAACATGAAAAGGCAAGGAGGGGTAGGGCAGGGAGACTCATAACAACTAATAAGAGAAGAACATTTGCCTGGGCCAATTAGCTGAATAATGTGTAAATTGTTGCACTAAAATACGGGCTTTCTGCTTAACTAGACAAATTATTTTTAAAAACGTTTTGAGCTTAAACATAAATCTTCAATGATACAAGTAAAAACTGTGTATGCAACTACATGTACACGACATACATGAACCTCCGATTCCGGCTCTCTATAATTTAATAGTCTCTCATTGAGAAAGTAAACAGAACCAAATGAGTGGCTGGGTCGGAGTGAACTGGAGGGGAGTGAATTGCCTAGCCAGAGGGTAAATCTAGCGTGGCAAACCTAACAATGCGTTGATAAACGTAAAACTAAATGTATCCTCCGCATCTGCAACTCCTCCATCCGCATCCGCGTCCGCATCGGCCATAAAAGATGGCACAATGCCGGCGGCACCATCAGCTCAATCGATGTCGTCCTCAAGTTCGTCATCATCCAGCTCCAGTTTGAACTCGCCATCGGTGGTGGTGTGCTGTGCCGAGTGCTGAGCAAAGCCTTGGGATTCGTTGGTCGTCTCCAGGTACCCGTTGAACTCATTGTCCTCGTCGTCCGAATCGTACATGGTTTCCACTGTCTTGCCAGTGCCGTAAGCTGAATAGTAGACAATGTAGGCATAAATAAAACGAAATATTACAAGGATTCCACTAGCTCTTTACCTTCTACGTATTTGGCGAGATTTGGCGGCACCCAGGACTTGACTCGTTCAATATTCTCCGGCGAGCACTCTCCCTTATCCAGCCCTACGAGAGTTACAAGTTATAAAAGTTAATCTCCAAGGAAAAGGGTAATCTTGGAATGCTCGCTCACCCAACAGGAGGCCCATACGCTTGAGGACCTCAATATCATCGTGCATTTCGAAGGTCTTGTCGAACTTGAAAATGTATTCGGACCTGGAACACGAGACGAAAACACATCGGATACGAGATTAGTAGGGAATTGGTCTTGCGGAAAGTGAGGAGAGAGGAGAGACTAACTTGTCGTTGGTTACACTGCAGTTGATTTTGGTGGACTTGTGCGTGTTCACGATTATGAACGGCAGCTGAATCGAGGCATTTGGCGACGGCACCACGCCCTGGCTTTCGTTCCGCTTGTTCCGCTCGACCAGGCCCTTGAATGCCACATGCTGCATGACCATTTCCCGCAGCATTTCGTGCTTCTGCTTGATCCGCTCGCGCCGGCGGCAGTTCTCCTCTTCCACGGCCAGGACTTGCTACTCGAATGGAAAAACATTAGCACTGGAGCGGTGGCTGGCAGATCGGACAGAACATACCTCGGCTGAATTGGCGGGCAGGCCTATCCAGCGAATCTCCTTTTTGTCCTTGGAGATAACATTGATTGCCATCAGTACGTTGAGAGCATCGTAGACACGACGTCGGATATTCTTTTGATCACAGTTGTTGTCGTACGCATTGTTCTTCATCTCCTCGCTGACCAGATCGTCGGCCACCTCATTGTAAGTGGTCTTGCCCTTTTCCTCCACCTTCTCGCAGACCTTCATCGAAAAGTGGCGTAGGCCCTTTCCGGCCTTGTCCGGCTTGCGTTTCCTTTGGACTGACGACGACGAGCCGGACAGGGAGTGCAGGGAGTTGCTCTGAATGGCATGGCTAATGGCGGGAAACAACCAATGCATTAGCTTCTATAACCTGTCATCCCCTGCGTGGGTGAGAACTTACAGTTTTGATTTTATTTTCATAGGATTGTTTGGCGTGAACTTCACATAGCGATCCCCTTTTATCTGGAATGAAAGGGATGTCAGTTCCACCCGGAAAATGCAGACTCTGCGACCAACTCACCACGTCGTACATGCCGCCGCTGACTCCGCTTGTGCTCTTCTGCGCCACCACAGCCGTGTACGAAGTATCTGGAAAACAGACCGATCGAGGAGGTTAATAAAGGCGTGCGCCTGGCGCTTGAGAGGGATGTGCCTTACTCTCTGATTTTGGAATGACCAATCCGTTGTCCTGCAGCCGTATGAACTGTCCCTGATTGTCGGAGCCCTGAAGATTAGCAAGAATGGATTAGATGATTACCTCGGCGAAGGGAACACCCTATCTGAGCTCACCATTTGACTGAAGGCGCCCATGCGTCCCACGTTCCCGATGCCGCTGCCACTTCCACCGACGTTTCCGCTGTTACGCGCCGATGATCCGGTGGCGTACACCACGGCGGACTTGCCGCCCTCCATCTCGGACTTCAGTTGGGCCGGCTTGAGCATCTTGGCGATTTGTCCTGCGGGAGGAGATGCGAGAATCGTACGCCTGAGTTTCGGATACACACATAACACGCGGCTGAGTTGCTTCTTTGATAACACAACTGCAAGTATGTGTTCTCACAGATACAAATGCGGCAGTGTATGCGTGTGGTACTATCAACGATGCGTTGTGTTCGCCGCGCCGCGAGCGAAGAGAATGGAGCGAACGAAGCGACGAAACAAACGAATCGAGTTGAGCGCGCTACTGGAGGCGGCGAATGCAGCTACAACACCAGCGGCCATATAACATCCATCTTTGCGGTGGAACATTAGGGGTGCATACATCTACGCGTACCCACTCACACACACAGGGGCGCCGTGTGTGTACACACGATGGTGGCACAAGGATAAAGATGCAGAAACAGAAGCAAAAACAGAAACAACCCGAAACCAGATCGCCTGGCCATAGAGATGAGCAGCACGTGACCGAAAGTGAACCCTATCAAATTAGTGGTGGTTCGATATAAGTTCGTGACTGGGGACGATACTTGGCCAGTCACTGGTTGCTGCTTGAAGATATTACCCAAAAGGATATTATTCGTGTGAGTCGTGTTCTACTATCATTTCCATAATAAATGAATTAATTTTTTTTTTTTTAACTAAATCAAACTAGACTAATACTTTAGTTGGTTTGAGATTTGTAATTAATTTAAATTACCACGTGGCTAGATCGATTCGGCTGTTTACGCTGATCAAGAATATATATATAGGGTAGAAAATGAATCCTTCATGTATTGTGAATCCCTACTTTTTCTGCGAGTCTGCGGAAGGTGGCAGCCCTGGGATTCATGCCTATGTAACCGGCTTTTTCTAAGCATTTTAAGTTTTACAGCTTGCTCGATGGGATAATTATTCACCTGTCGCCGCCCGATATTTGCATAATCATAACAACAAACATAGCAAGTGGACGAAGAAGAATCGCGATGAGGAGGAGTTCAAAACAAAAACAGCAAAGGGTCGAAGAATACTAAAAATATCTGCCAACTCTCTCACTTTGCCCCGCCACACACCTGCGAATGACTCACGGAGGCTTAACCGATGGAATATGGTTGTATATACGGGCGGAGGGTCCTGGGAGCCGTGCACTCGACATGCAGTGTCCCCCAACGTTCAAAGGAACAAATAATCCTCGATATTTGTATCAGCAGTACCATAGTTCGGCCATACCAAACACCAGTTAACCACCGGCCCGACACTAAAACTGCGTTTATGCGTGCAACAAATTCGAAAAAGAAAGGAACGAATCTATTGTCATTCAAAAGGGTGGTTATGGGAACATACTGATTCTGCTAACCTATTAAATAAAACTATCTGAATTGATTTGCAGACAAAAAAAATTCCAATAAAAAAGTGTAGAGTTAAATCATTTTCCTATCTTATTTAAATCTTAAATTAAACAATATGTTTACTAAGAAAAAACCATCTTCTCACCGAGGAAATAACAAGTATACTTGTTGGTAAGAAGCTGAAATAGCTGAACGCTATAGAGTGGGCGGTTGCTTGGTAGTTACTTCTTGCGACAATTGGCGCATAAACGCGGCAATCCACAAACACACACGTGTACAAAGTCGCTTACACATGTTTGGCGTTCGCCTGTTTTGGGCCTCAGCTTCGTTGACGTGCGTACGTGTGTTTGTGTGGCATTGTTGTTCTTGCTTGGCCTTTTTCTCTCGGTACCTCGAGCCCCACTCGCGCGCTCCCCACTAACCGCCACGGGGGGACACATGACAGAATATAACGCCTTTACGCCGAAACTATGGCTGAAACTGGCCAAATCCTTTAGGCGGCCTGCGCGAAATGCGAAATCCTCACCCCGAATATGCAGCAGCTAAGCGGAATAATCAGCTGTTGGACGCCCGATAAAATGTGGGAGAAATGCTTCGGTGTGTGTGCGGGTAAGAGAGTGTGTGTGTGTGAGCGCGCCAACTGGGCGATGGGCGGCGAATGGAAGATGGTGGTGGAATGGGGGGTGGTGGCAAACCGATTTTAGTTGTTATTTTGCGGGGGTATCTGCCTTTTATTATTACTTTTTGCCAATTCCTAGCACTGTGGCAATGCGCTGCGCGCCCCAACTCGTCTCGGGGCCCCTAAAGCGTATCAAACGATGAATATTGTAGTCAAAAGAAACCCGAAAAAGAAAAGATGGCGTTTACGCTGCCCATGCAACTTTGTAGTATCGCACCCGCCTCCATCCATGCGTGTGTGCGTGTCGCCGAGAGTGCGGGTGTGTGTGTATATGTGAGGGAGAGCGCGCACACCAACGCAATGCCAGTCCATTTATCCTGACGGCAGGATGGGGGGAGTCCCTCCAGTTCCGCCCACTTACCGTGTTCGTCCCGGAAGAAGAAATTCACCTCGTCCGCCTTCACTGCACCGCTCGCGGAGGTGTGCGCCATCTTTGCAGTACCAGCAGCCGCAGCAGCAGTAGTGTCCACTGTTTCCTCTTGTTGTTGTCACTGCCGCTCAGGTAGGCAGGTGCAGGCTCCCGTAACGCTTACCGCTGGGTCGCCAAACGGAAGGTTCGGACACGAGCAACCTGTATCGATGGGTTTGGGTGGGGGCGCGGGCGGGTGACGTACTGCACCCACGGGTTGGCACGTGTGCAAATCCGGATCGGATCGGGTCGGACCCGGACCACAAGCACACTCTCCGCACAAGTTGCAAACTCGCTGTCGTTCGAGTCAAAATGGCGAGCGCATTTTTGTTCACTTCCAGAGCATTTTTTCTGGTCACACACACACAGCGGCGGCCGCAAAATCGCCGCGGAGCCTTTTTTTCGGGGACTTTTTCGCGGACTTGGCGTGCTTCGATTTTCAACAGCTAGGGCGCAAAAGACTCGCCGGACTCGTCGCTTTCAAACGCGGTATTGGAACACGAATCAAACAATCTTCGAGACACAGCACGATGGGCACAAATTTTCCACCAAGTCGTTGCTTTTCGTTTTCATGTGGGAAAGGCTAAGCAGCTGTGCGCGCCAATTTACGCATCAATCGCATCAATGAGAATACTAGCTGAAAATACCAAAACCAAAATTAAGCCAGTGGCAGTGTTTCGGCAACCTTGTAGCCTGGCCACACTGGTCCTACTTTCGAATCCAATTTTTAAGGACTTTTTACCATGTGAAACTTTCGAAATTACCCATATTTTTGAGTGGTTACCTGCATTTTTAATGCCCATTGTCCGAAACTTGTAAAAATATGTACAAAATAATAAAATATAAAATTAAGGATATCCGAAAAGTATCGATATCACATCCCTGTCAGTTCTCGAACTCCAATTTGAGAATTATAAGTTTACATTTTTTTGTAAAAGAAAGAAATGAAAGCAGATCCTGATCAGATCTGTGGCGCGTCCTAGAGGCCGGAGGAGCTGGAGTACGTCAAATGCTAATGAGGTTTTTCTGTATTTTAAGTTAGGTTCCTTCCGCTGAAAGCAAAGATTTCAACTTAATTAATTAATGAAAAGTACTTGGTACATAAATAATGAATGGTTCAACTGAAATTGATGACAGCGAAAATATTTGGCTTCAACATATCGATCAGGCAGCTGATGGCCGGCGACCATTTACAGCACTGGCCGCGAATGTAAACAAAGTTGCCACTGCGCATCCCTGCGTTATTTTCACGACAGCCCAACACTGTCACACTGCGGAGCCAATAAAAAGATTTACCCCGATTTTGGTGTTGAAAAATGACAAAGCAGGCTCCAAACAATCAGCCGAGCCGAAATTCCTCAGGAGTTTAACAAGACCGCCCCCACCCACTCAGCACTCAGCGCTCAGCTCCCGCGGAGGAGCAGCCGCAGCCACAGAATGGTAGATCCGGTGGCAGCGCTCTGCAACTATAATGTCCTGGAAGTCATTTTTTCCTACTTGGAGCTGGACGACCTGAGCAAATGCTCGCAGGTGTGCAAGAGCTGGTATCACTTCCTGAACGACGAGATCAGCGACGTGTGGCGCTGGCACTGCCTGAACAAGCTGCCCAAGGAGGCGCTCAAATCGGACTTGCTGGCCTCCCTCTCCACCTACAAGACGAAGCTCAGGGCTTACTTCCACGCTTGGAGCCCGAACGACTGTTCGCGCAACGTGTACATAAAGCCAAATGGATTCACCCTGCATCGGTAAGGCTGCCTAACCGGCGTCCATCTACATACGGCCTCGCGATCTTCTAATTGGTCTCTTATGTTCGTCAGCAATCCCGTGGCACAGAGCACAGATGCGGCACGCGGAAAAATCGGCTTTAAGCACGGACGCCACGCGTGGGAGGTTATTTGGGAAGGACCATTGGGCACCGTGGCGGTCATTGGCATATCCACGAAGGAGGCGGCCTTACAGTGCCACGGCTATGTAGCCCTGCTGGGTTCCGACGAGCAGAGCTGGGGCTGGAACCTGGTCGAGAACCACCTGCTGCACAACGGGGACATGCAGGGCAGCTACCCGTTGCTTAACAACGCCCCCAAGTACCAGGTGGGCGAGCGGATACGCGTCATACTCGACTGTGATGATAATACGCTGTCTTTCGAGAAGAACTACGAGTTTCTGGGCGTGGCCTTTCGGGGTGAGATATGAATTTCCAAGTGCCAGATTTCGTACATTATCTATCCTTCCGTTCGCTCTTCCGTTTGCAGGGCTACCAGACAAGAAGCTCTATCCCACAGTATCTGCTGTCTACGGCAACACCGAGGTGTCAATGGTCTATCTTGGCACTCCATTGGATGGATAGTTGTGGCAGGGATGGACAGAGATGCAGCCTTACCGCGTACAATTTGTTTAAAAAACTCAATGAATCAAGCTAGTTTTATGTGTAAATTTGTATTTATCTTTATTACGTTTGCTTCATTCCACCTGCAACTCAGTTCGATATTTTAACTTTAGTGAATAGTTCGTGTTTGTACAAAATTTTGCATTTCTTTGTTTTACCGCCACGCCAAAGTTAAAGTCCACCTCCGCACTATCTTCACCTGGCAATTTACGTTAGTTATATGAACCAAATGAATAAATTATAGCGATTAATAAATAATTGAACCGTGTTTAAATATTCAGAACGCGTTTAACGCAACTGCAGCTCGTGGTAGTTTTGATTGAACTTTATTAGTCGCTTCACTTAAACCTATTACTTTGCGTTGTCCGAGGAGCTCTTGACCTTGGCCCAGTTGTCTTCATCAAACAGATCATCGAAGTCGTTATAGAAGTCGGCGTGGACATGCTTATCGTTGGCCGGGAGATGATCCATCATCATTCCTGTGGCACCGCCAGACTGCAAGGAGGAAGATTGCGCATTTTAACATCTCCTGTTTTCAGCTAAAACCTTGCTGGTAGGCTTACCTCGTCCATTTCCATGTAGCCAGGGCCTTCCGAAAACATTTCATCGGCAGCCAGGGAAGGTTTCATGTTCAAGTCCATTCTAATCTCCTTTCAAACGTATTTATTGTTTGTTTTTACGCGTCTGCTTGCCAAAATTTTCAGTCACTCTGCCGGTGCTGCCACTGCGATGTATACGCGCCATCTGGCAGCACTTCAACCAGCTGATTCTGGCTAGCGATTGGTGTAGGTAAATATTTTTATAAACTTTGAAGAGAATGGTTCGCGTTGGCCTGCAGATCTCCGCCACACTGGAGAATATAGACAAGCTGGAGACGAGCCACCCCGACTACCCCTTCTTTTTGAAGCTCACCTGCAGCAACTGCGGAGAGCAGTCGGACAAGTGGCACGACATCACAGAGTCGGAGCGCGTGGGGCAGGACACCCGCAATGCAGCCGGCTCCAATTTCGTTATGAAGTGCAAGATGTGTGCCCGCGAGAACAGCATCGATATCGTGGAGAAGTCCAATGGTAAGCGCTCTGTCCAGAACCAGGCTTTATCCTAACTAATCTTATCCTGATTTCTCTTCTCAACAGTTGCGTATACTGCGGACGATGCCGGTAGCTTCAAGACCATAGTCGTCTTTGACTGTCGCGGTGTGGAGCCTGTGGAGTTCTCACCACGAGCCGGATGGCGCGTCTCCTCTTCAGAGAACGGTCAGGCCTTTGAGGATGTCGACTTGTCTGAGGACGATTGGGTGGAATATGACCAGAAGAATAACAACTCGGTGGGCGTCTACGAGTTCGCGTCAAAGTTCATCAAGCTGAAAAAGTGATACGGTTTCTCAGTGATTAACATGACCAGGACCAGGTTATTCATCATACAGATTTATAACTAAACTTCCATTCAAAACACCCTTTTCGTTTGATTAAATATTATTACATTTACAGTAGAAACACTTGAATATTAAATGGATGTCCACATTGGTTCTAAGAGACCCTTGAGCTATTAAAAAGTTTTTATTTTCTGTTAAATGTTATGATACGTAACATTATTTTCTCGATACTGAAAATAAAAGTTCTTCAGACTCTCAGAAATAATCCCTCGATTGATCTTCAAAGGAAAAGTTGTATGAATAATGTAGAAATTTTAATATTTTAAATCTGTTTTATACAAAAGGACACCACAAAATCGATTTTCCTGCTGGTGGAATAGGAATAAACGGGTTCAAATATGCCTTAATCTATTTTCAAAATGCTTTTCTTTCTCACTCAGGTAGCCACCTGCAATTTCCAAACACACATGTATTTTAAAACAGCAAAGATATGCCACTTCTCCTTATTGTTTCTATATCAGCTAAATGAGCTTTTCGGACAGAAACCGACAGAGATCCTGAAAACTCCTACAACGCATACATTCTGTAGGCATACCTATTCTCAATATTATAATGTTCTCAATGTGGGTATACATATAGTAAAATGTTTATTAATTGAGTCGAACTAATGTCCCGTCAGTTGACTAAGGACAACGCTAAGGAGAATAAATTCACACAAAAGATTAGGTTTACGTCTTTATTCAATTGATCTCAGCTAAATTCTTGTGACAAAAATATTTATTGTGCTGCTCTTCTGTTTACAAAGAGATCGCCCGCTTGGGATATTGGTTGTATACAATAATTTAATAGCCACCCATGGAGGGCACTTAGTGATTCTAAGATTATTGAAGAGCGGCATCGCCTGCTCTGGATGAGGATTGCTTACATTGGTTCAGCATGGAATCGCCTACGCTGTATATTCTTATTTCTTGGATATGTGAATATGTCACTATATATGTATGTACATATATCTAAAAAAGGACGTAAATATCTTTATGATCTGTAGCCTCTCTTAAATGTTTTTGCAGTGAGAGAAAGTAGCCAGCCGGCCTTCTCTTTGCTCAACGTTTTCTCTTTGGCATTGTATTGATTTTAATGCCGGCTAGCTTACTTTGATTTTAGATTGAGCACGAAAGATAGCCTTCTGGCAATTGTGCTTGCCTCTCTGTGTGCGTTTGCATGATGATAATTTTCAAGACATTTTAGTATTTCGCCAGACGTTGGCGCACTCGGTGATAGAACGCGATCCGGATTTCGGATCTACTTTCTGAACTCAAATAATAACAAAGCAACACGCGTCTGCCGCGCCTGGCTCAATATCTGGTGAATAATTGCTATAAAAGCACCTGTCAAGTGTTGGGTATGCCAATCTCACATAGAAGTTAGGCAGTAAATGCAGCAGCACAGTGTAATGGCATTACTTATACGCATCGTGCAAAATCCGCTGTGATTAGATAACGGGAGCACGGTTATCTGGACACCGGGCTGGTGTATTATTGCAGAAATCCCTACCCAGTCGATGCAATAAAAGATTCCACCGTGCACCTGACCTTTGCAAGCTAAAGTGACGTGACCGGATTACCGGCTGGTGATTCCCACGAATCCCACTTCATCATCCATTATGCATTTTTCAAGGCTGGCACGCACCCGAGGCGGTCTCTTTATGTCGTTAACAATGATACTGGAAACACATGTAATAAAGTCCAAATGCATTCCGATTGCAACAATTTATCTCAATTGGAAAAGATTGGTTTGCATGACTGCATGAAGGAAGAATCGCGCAAAACTATGTATATTAATTAGCATCAAAGTCAATTCATCAGTTCTAAAGAGCACTTCATAGTTCGAAAAAACGGAACAATTGGAACAAACATTTGGATTTTGTTTCTAATTTATTTTATCAAATATGGACACTGGTGCTGTATTTTTATTCTTTAGCGAATTTGTGGCAAGGGCAATGAACTCACGTGCTTAAATTTTAAAAAAAAAAACTTGATGGGTTTTAAACAATGTTATCTTAATGAGAAGAAAATGTATCAATTTATTCATACAGTTCTGGGATTGATTTTGTAAAATAAAAAGTAAGCGTGTGAACAATGAATTCAGGATCAAAAAACTTTAAATTGTCTTTGTAAATTTGTCGTCTAAATATTCTATTTACGTTCACTTTTAATATGTATCTATGTACATATATGTATACATATATCAATGCTTGGTCCAAATTTCATGCCTGACAAATTTTCCCTTGCCGAGCATCTTCCATTCCATAAAGTACAGAGCAGCATAACCTAATGACACCGTATAGACCTAAGATTTTAACACAAACTAGAATGTTTAGTAGCTCTAAAATTATAGTTTTTAAAATATTTGAACAGACAGAGCTTACTAAATCCACACCAAGAATATATCTTACAGTTTCAATGTTTTCACAGTTATTGTAGATTCTTGTATAGTTTTACAGCTTTGGATTGTAATAATAATCTCTAATCTTTAATAATAATGAAAGCAACATATTTATTTTTTACATGAAATTAATACTGGTCTCCAGAAATGTACAGTATGTTTTTGTGAAATGATAACTGCTGCAATAAAGTCCCTATAGTTTTTTCACAAGAGTCTCTTCATATTTCAAATATTTTTCTAACTGCAGGTCGATATCTCCATGGATGAATTTTTATATATAAGGCTAAAGAAAGCTTATATTTTTTCGTGTGACCTCTGAGTTAGGAACTACCAGTGCCATGTCAACTCCAACGCCTGGGTGCCCTGACTTTGACGACATTCTTGGTCAAATCGGAGAGTTTGGCCGATTCCAGCGCCGAAACTATCTACTCATCTGCCTCCCGGTTTTGTTCGCTGCCGCCAATAGTCTCTCGTACGTTTTCACGGCGGGATCTCCTACCTATCGATGCCAAGTTCCCGCCTGCGACAACCTCGAGGCGCCCGTCTACGGAGCGGATTGGGTGTCTGCAGCCGTTCCTGGAACCTGGAACAAGCAGGGACACTTCACTCCGGTGACCTGCGAGAGGTTTGTGGCAAATGTAAGCACCGTCCAATCGAAGCCAGTGGAATGGTGTTCTGCTGAAAACTTCACAACGGAGACGGAGCGCTGCAAGCAATTTGTGTACGGCACCTCGGAGCAGACGATCGTACAGCAGTGGGGACTACAGTGCCCGGAGAACCTCTGGAAGCTGGCCTTCGTGGGTACAATGCACTTTGCAGGCCTGGTAGTTGGCACTGCGCTTTCCGGCTACCTAGCGGACCGGTGAGTCTATACGATATGTTGATTTTTAATCTGAAGCGAGTTCTTGTACGTCCACTCCTTGATCCTTCCTGACACCAGTAATCCAAATGTCTTTCTTTAAGGTTTGGTCGAAAGCACGTCTTTCTAATCTGCATTGTGTTCATGGCTGTAACGGGAGTGGCGCAGGCTCTATCCTGGAATTATACTAGCTTTCTGGTCTTCGCACTGCTCAACGCCGTGGGTACCTCCGGCGTCTACCCACTGGCCTTCATCATCGGCGTAGAAATGGTGGGGCCCCGGAAGCGCGAAATGTGCTCCATTGTTCTTAACTACTTCTACGCGGTGGGAGAGGCGCTCCTGGGTCTGGCAGTCTTTCTCCCCGATTGGCGTCATCTGCAGATGGCGCTCTCGCTGCCACCGTTGCTCTGCGTGGCCTACTTCTGGCTAGTGCCCGAGTCGGTCCGATGGCTACTGGCTCGCAATCGTCGTGAGCAGGCCGGCGTGATCATCCGGCGGGCGGCAAAGGTGAACCGGCGAGACATCTCTGCCGAGCTGATGGCGAACTTCAAAGAGCAGGAGCTGAGTGGGATAGCACTTACCGAGCTGGAAGCGTCTGCTGCGCCTGTGGAGTTAAAGGATGACCAAATTTGGCGTGCCGTCAAAGAGGTGTTTGGCTCTCACATACTTTTGGCTCGGTATGCCATCATGCTGCTCGTATGGGCAGTGAACGCCATTGTCTACTATGGCCTCTCGCTGAATGCCACTAACTTGAGCGGCAATAAGTACCTGAACTTCGCGTTGGTTTGCCTGGTGGAGATACCTGGATATAGCATTGCCTGGGTTAGTATCTCTCGCCTTTTACCCAAGACTTTGATCTATGGTTATAATCATAATCCGTATCCCATAGTTTTGTTTGCGCAGACTCGGCCGGCGTCTGGCTCTATCCGGCTCTTTGTTGCTGTGTTCCGTCACCTGTGTGGCCAGCGGCTTCGTCACCCTGGGTAACTATTACATTTAATTGTTTAACAAATTGATAAATATATTGAGTTTATTCTATCGAAGCAGTTTTAGTTGTTAAGTTTCTTTCTCTTTTGTTTTTATTATTAATCCAATGCCTTAGAAGAGAATTTAGGCACAAGGAAAGTGGGGATTTTCCTACTTATTTTCTTTATAAAATAAAACAAGAAAGGCGCGACGATGTGTATACCCTTGCAATTTGAAAGTGAATCATTAAAAATATATATGTTATCATATATAATTAGGTTTCATTTAGCTTCAAAACAGAGGGACTAGCTTGCATAGAAACGGAAAGACGGAAATGGCCAGATCAGATCGGCTGTTGGTGCTGATCAAGAGTATATATGCTTTAAAGGGTCAAAAATGACTGCTTCACTGCGTGGAAAACTTCTGACTAAAATTATAATAATTGAATATACTTTAAGTTATTTCGCAGCCGTGTTGTCCTTTTTTATAAGTATTCAAATTGTAAAAAACTATTAATTTGAAATAGATATTTAATAAGCTTTTACCTACCGTAATCTGATTCATTTGTGCATGCCCGTCAAGTGCAAAACGATTGGATTTTTAGGAATTGTAAGTGTCCTTAAGTCCGATTCGAGAATGTTGCTACCGAATCCCTTTCCGTCAATAACGCCAGTCCTTTTCACCAGGTGCCAACTGGCTGATCGTGACACTTTTTCTAATTGGCAAGCTGGGCATAACCTCCTCGTTTGCCGTAATCTACACGTTCACTGCGGAAATGATGCCCACGGTTTGTGAGCCTTTTCTAATCTTTTACATCTGAACTGATCAGAGATCTTGTCGATTTCAGGTTATTCGAAGTGGAGGCGTTGGCGTTATGTCCACATTCGCCCGTTTTGGGGCGATGCTGGCACCTTTCGTGCCGCTGTTGGTAAGGTCTTATTTGTTTATAGTAGTCACCTATCAAACTTACACATCTCGTAATATGTCATCAAATAATATGGTCAGTATTATAAGTTAAAATATAAAACCTTTTTTCTCGTTTTCCCAACAGTCGTCGTATTACGAACCACTTCCCCTGCTCCTTTTCGGTGCCACTTCGCTGGTGGCAGGAATCCTCTCGCTGCTTCTGCCAGAAACGTTTCATCAGAAGCTGCCCGATACGGTGAGTAGGAGTATCAGGAGAATCTTCAATTAGTTTTACCAAACATCTACAGGTCGAGGAGGCTATTGCGCTGGGAAAATGATAAACGCCCCTCCGGAGCCTTCAGTCATTTGAGAGTGAGTTTTCTTACTTCTGACAAACAGAAACATATACATAATTAAAAAAATGGCTTCATAGACTCAAATTAAATTAAGGAACTTTATGATGGCAAAAAATACTTACACAAATATATATAATATATATCATATATGTATGTATAGACATCTTATTTTAAGACCTATTTCTTAGGCTGCTTATTTGTAACGCTCATGATTAGTAAATTTTTTAATATACGCACAACTTTATATTCAAAAGAAAAACAAAATGGACTTTATGTTGTGAAAAATATTTAATTAAACCTAATCTATATAAAACACTTAGTCCTATAATCAGTCCCCAAAAAGACCCTCGAACAACTGGGGATCGCTGACAAAACCGAGTCGACTTAGCAACTTGTAGCGCCGGCTAGGATCGCTCCGCAGACAGATGGGCGACACGAATCTCAGCCGAGACGGAGTCCGCTGCTCCCAGCTTGGGAGCAGATCTCCCGGGTCCACCAAGGTCTCTTTTCGTCGGCCCCAGAAGTCCACGTAGGCGAGCTTCAGCAGATCCTGCTGCTCGTTGACATAGATGAAGCCGACGAGGTTCGTGGCAGCATAGCTGGCGATGGTAAGGGTGGCCAGGCCACTTACACCGATGGCAGCGTAAATGCCCAGTGCGTCCGTTGTCACCTGTCCGGCATGCCCCAGAGCAAAGGCAATGGGCATACCGGCCGCTGTGATGACCGCCTGATAAACTTTCAGCTTACTGAGGGCGGCCACGAGTCGTATTCCTGGCAGGCTGTAAATAGTTCGCCATTCCGTGAAGGCGGCGTCCTCGTGGGCCGAACTGTGCTGGCTCCTCCGCGGAATGACTGTAGCCACGGCGCTCCTACAGGGCAATCGTGCGACATGAAACGTCCGTAATAGCCACACTGCAATTAAATAAGCACTGATTTATACATTGAATGCATATTTTGGTGTGTCTAGGCCATCGGAACTCACTTGCTTGGTTGTAACGTATTAATTTTAAGCGAACATTTATGATTTTGGCGCTTGCATAAGGATTTTTAAGCGTAAAATCAGCTGTAGCTGCCAGCTGGCAGTGCTGCTCTCCAGGCTGTAAAGAAGCTTGAAATGCTTTAGAAAAAAGCTAGAAAAAGCCAAAAAATTTGGACTAGATAACAATTTTATTTTTGAGTATGCTGTTTTGCACAGCTTTTAAAAATCTTGTTCTATGCAATTGGCATGGGGTCCACTATTATGGCCTTTAATACATACAAGTATAAAAAAATAATAATAATAGTAATGTGGAAAAATAGCTAAATTGCTAACAAAATTCAGTGGGATCAGCTGGTGTGATATCGATTAATATACAGGCCTTCGATATGAATTACAATCGCTACTTGTGCCCGGCGCTTTTGAAAAGTGGCGCCCACTTCTTCGTATAAGATGTGTTGTTACGTCAGGACCGAGCGTATAAATATAGCATCCCGGCGAGCAGAGAGCGATCAATAAATAAATCACTTACACCAGGTCTCAGTCGACGGTTAGATCGCGCAGCCTCTTTGTGTGTTCCTCTTGCGGATCCTATAAGTCCCAGCGTATTTAATAATTGCGGAGTATGTGCATACTTTACCTTAAATAAACGAATGTGTTGCCATAACTATTGTTTAATTTGTAAGCTAATTGGGCAAAAATGGAATACTATCTAATATATGCCGTTGATGTTCGCTGACAAGCGTGAGCGAAAACATTTATTTTTGGCACTTTCGCGTGTGCTTCGAAACCAGAAATAGTTTTTTGCACAGACAAAAACACTAATTTACACCAAACAATGCTGTTCGGGATTGGCAAGGTTCAATTGGCAAACAGAACCGAATGTAAATATAATAGAATTGCTTCAAAATTAAACGTCAACTATTTGATAAATTTTGTGTGCGACCAGCGTTGTAAGGAAGTCTTCAAGACGAGCAAGCTGTGATTTACAGTAGAAAGTGAATTATTTGAGTCCCAATGGATCCTAATTGGTATTAAATTATGTTTGTTCAGGGACGAAGAACTATAACTACCATTAGGTAGATCAACTACAACTAACATATTTTATAATATATGCTTGAAGGAGACTGTGACCCTGAAAAACCAAAAGATTAATAAAATATTTTTATACATTTTTCAAAAGCATCTGCAGACGTGTTACCGTTTACCGTGTTAAGCTATCAGTGATATAAAGCATTATTCTCATTATTTATAGGTTGAAATAAAAATTAAATAAATAAAAGATCCGAAAATTTGTAGTTGCAGAAACGCACCTAAAAAGTATACATCTATCTGGGCTCTAGTTTATAACTTTAAGCAAATATTATCCAAACAAATGTGGAATCTATTGGATAAGTTAAATACTTGGAAGTTGTGTTGGTTTATATTTTAAATTAAATTAAATTGTAGTTATCAGGAATGTGAGATTGAGGTTACCTAGAGTTTTGTGCGTTCAATAAACCTGAGGATGCACATATCTCTGTAAATACTTATCTGATGGTCTCGATCTAAACTATTCTTAACTTATTTTATAAAAAAACAAATTTAAAACAAGATTTAGATTCGATTTTAATTTTTTTACGTAGAAAGAGAGATTTTCAAGACCCCAGCAAAATTTAAAGACTAACTTGATCTGTAAGCTGTTCAAATTCTTCTCTCTCTTTATTGCTCTTAAAATCTCTGCAGTCGACTGGTGATGCAGATCTGAAAAACATAACAGCATCTCAAACTTAATAATTAATAAATTAAATGCAATATTTACTTCCTAAAAGTATTTATTTATTTATATTTTAAAATAATAAAATAAATAATAATACATGTTATTATAATATCCCCCCACTCTCCTATAAGGAAATGTCTATGACAGCGTTGGGGGTCAGCGCCCTATTCATGGTGGGATGCTGTACCATCGCTCAGATCGCCCGCGTCCTCAGCCGACGCCTGGTTGCTCGGGAGGGAATCGTTCCCATCCTCATTAACGAGGCGATCGCTGCTGCCGAGCTGTGCGCCTGCTGCTTCGAGTTGATTATAGGTAAGTGACCGATCTGGATGATGGGGACCTTAAGACTCATTTTATGCGCAGTGGCCGACAACTTTGGAGTGTCCATGTACGCCATTTGCCTTTTTCTGCTGACCGTGTGGTGGGGCCGCGTGTGGGGCGACGCCTCCGCTTGCCCTTACACCCACATGGAGGACGTCCTGGAAGGGCGCACCAGCTTCAAGGAGATGGCGCTTCGCAGTTGGGCCGAGCTGATGGGAGGCTGCTGCGTCTACAGGGTTGTACAGCTCTTTTGGTGGCTGGAGCTGGCCGAGACCCATCGAGGACGTGCCTTTGAGGCCTGTAACGCCGACCTGCAGGTCAGCCCGTACCTGGGTGCAGTGATCGAGGGCGTGGCCACCTTACTCTGCCGTCTGGCGTCCAAGGCCATCAGTGCCAAGGAGCCGCGATTTGGCAGCTACATCGATTCCTTCATTGGCACCAGTCTGGTGGTGGCGGGTGAGTAGAGCTTCGCCGATCCAATGCGATCCGATTCCGAAATCCTGGTCTCAAGTAGTTTACGCCTTTAACTATGTCCTGCTTGCAGCCTTTAACTTCTCCGGCGGCTACTTCAATCCTGTCTTGGCCACAGCCCTCAAGTGGGGCTGTCGCGGCCACACACACCTGGAGCACATCATTGTCTACTGGATCGGCGCCTGTGCCGGCGCTGTGCTCTCCATTCCGGTCTTTAAGCTGCCTGTGGTGCGTCGCCTCCTTCTTGGTGCAGAGCCGGAGTCCAAGCCAAAGCTGGAATAAAAGCCGTCACGAAAGACAACGTTAAACATATCTTAAAAAAGTCTCTGGTTTTAAAAATTTCTTCAATTTCCCCTGATCGGCTCACTCCATTTGAGGTGCGGGTATATCTTTTCTAGTACTGTAATAAAAACCTAATTGATTGGAATTTAGAAAACCTAGAAAGGGAAACGAAGGCAAGACAATCTGTAGATAATTATAAGCAATAATAGACCCTGTTATATCTAATGACAACAAAAAAAATCAAATATTTGTTATAAAACATTTTATTAATTCGTTAATAAAGGATATTTAAGTTTTCAATTTAATTTATATTTTTGAAAAACAAAGGAATCAACCAGTAACACCAATTTCTGAAATAACGGATTCCTGAAAGAGCCCAAATTTAAATAAAAATCCATTAATCGATTAAAGAATCGATTTTATTTCCAGCTTTCTGCCTATCGCTGTTGCTCTGTGCTGGTCAGCACTGGCGAAACAACTCACGTTAGCCAGCACTGAAACAGCTGTTCCAAATTTGTTTGCGAACCAAAGCCGAAATGTTGAGCGACGAGGATAATTTGGGAATTTACGACGATTTGGACGAGTTCCAGCAAGCCGAAGATCATGTAAGCGAGTCCAAACTACTGCTGGCGGCACACGATTACAGATGGCGTTCTTCCAGAAATCCAAAGAGTTGCTGGCATGGGAAGTCAAACACAGGAACGCGCTGACCGAAATCGAGGACCTGAAGGCGCGAAACAAGGCTTTGGAAAAGAAAATAAAGACCATGGAAGTCAACCTACAGAATCTGTTGGACACAGCGAAGTCGGAGGTGAAGAGAAAGGAGGTGCTGATAAGTCAGCTGCGGAAGGAGTAAGCCCACATGCAGTGCATTTTAGTGCCCAAATGTATTCCTTTAAATCTCATCGTATTACAGGAAAGACGACATATGCTTTCGGCGAAAGCGGGGCCGTGAAGTCGATGAACCAGCGGAGAAAGAACCCGAAAAAAAGTGCCTAAAAACGGCCTCCAAAATGGATCCAGAAGTGAAAAAGAACCCATTCAAAGCCGACTCAAAAAACAACAGAAATCCGGTCGGAAAGCGGAGATCTCGAAGCAAGTCTCCCAGATCAAGATCCAAGATCCCAGATCATAGGCTAGAGACCCGGCACAAGTCCAGAGAACGTCGGCGTAGTCAAAGTCCAAGGCATTCAAGCCGGCAAGAGGAGCACCGGAGCCGTGGGAGTAGCTCCCGCCGTAGAAGCCGCTCCCCTGTGTCCAGGTTAGTGAAGCAGATTCAATGAGGTTCCATCATTGATAACAGCGTCTGACTTTTGTTTTTGTAGAGCACAGATATCGGGATCCAAGTCACAGAAAATGTCATCTCTTAACGGCGAGGACACAACAAGTGGGGGCCGGGAGAGTAAGAATAGGCAGCACCATGAAAAGGTAAAACAAATTCGAGATATCGCCGGCCTATTGACACCCACTGAACTCTATAAGCCAGAAATGGCAACGATGAAAACCCAGGACCTACGAATGAAATGTGCCGTCACATCTGTCGATGGCTACTTTCAAGGAAATGAAACGAATAACCCAACCAATGATATCAGCCGAAGCACTGGTGCATTTCTCCCGAAAGAAGAGTTTGTTCCCGGGTTGGACATGATTTGCGAACCAGCAGCTCACAAACAAGAATCACCTGCCGGCCAGTCTCGTTCCGAGGCACCTGAAATGAATCAAACAAACAATATATTGACACAAGGATCGGTCGCCGGCGATCCGTTGCTAGTTCAGAACCGAAGCGATAATCCCGATAAAAATGCCCAAGCCGACGAGCTTGTGCAGGTGGATGTAACTGCAACTGAGTTCAGCAAGCCAGCAATAGAGTCGTCGACGAGAAACACAAACAACGAACGTACTGGCGAAGAGGGTACGGACAACGATGCAGAAAAGTCTGAACTGAATCATTCATTAAATAAATTAACTAAAAATCAGAGCACGGTCCAAGCAGAAGTAAATGCTGAGCTATTGGTTGCTTCCGGCACAGCTCAAAGGGACGAAAATATCACTGGCAGTTCGGCAGAGCCAAAAAGCGAAAGCTGCGACGCCAAAATCTGCATAGTTGAGGACGTTCGGTTACCAGAAGTGGCGGATATTGGCCATATTGCGGTTGTAGTCGATGAGATGTGCGGCGTTGAAGAAGAGATCACACAGAAACCCGTATCGAATGAGCAGGAAAATTCCTCTAGCAAGGACGTACCAAGCGATTTGAAGGAGCCATCTACCCCATCCCTCAGTTCTAACGTATTCTACGCTCAACCCGACTCTACCAAAGTCGATCACAACGATACGGAGAATGGGGTCATTCTAGAAGCTGCCCTGAACTTACAATCGGGCAGCGATCTAGCACCACATCCCCAGAGTGCCCCGAATCGAAGTTATCCTAATCTGAGCCTCGAAGAAGATGCCGTCGAGACTGCGCTGGGGCAATTGCATCAGACGGTGACTCCAGACGAAACGGTAGTGACCTCCACGTCGAACCGAGCGCGGAAGGCGGAAGACAATTGTGCACCCACCAGCACGAGCCTCAGCCATTTTCCCCTTCAGGCAGAGGAGCCGATAATTGAGAAAACTCGTCGGGAAACGGATACATCTGATGACAGTCGGTCACAGGTTTCGAAAATATGGGAACTGGAGCCACCGTTGCCAGGCCAAGACATCACCATTGACGAAACGGTAGACGATGGCTGTATCCCTAACGAGGAGTTCTCAACAGTTACCAAACGCTGCTCTCTGGGTCATACCGACTACCAGTTCGAGCAAAGAAACGATGAGATTATCCTGCGCGTAAAGCGTCGCACACGACGCCGAGTTTCAAAACCTCTTGATGTACAAGAGCCAAACCAGAATAATGAATAAAAACCAATAGATATAAGTTTAAAAACATAAATTCATGTATTTGATTTAGGCTTTAGGCACAAGAGTTGAGAGCGTTGGTCATCACTTTAAAATTTGTATTCCAAATGGTTAATCATGTAATCTTGACTTAAAATTTTCATTGGGAAACTCGGGGAATGAATTGTCCGGGATAGAACTTCCAAGTTTCGGGTTTATCATGTGCTTGTATGTCGTGTAATTGAAGAACATTTCCGAATATGTCCACAGTAAATGCTGGGAAGAGGTCATTAATCGGCCGGTGTTGAACCTCCAAGTTTGCGGAACCATGAGTAAATAACAAGCCAGAAATAGATTCCCAAGACTGTTGAGAGAATAATAGAAAACTTATTTCAATATAATATTCTGGTAACGTATGTATGTAACTATATCTTATGGTAAATTACAACGATTTTAGTCTGTGTGATTTCGAAATCTCAAAATCCTACTCTACATCGAATTAACTTTAAGCGCTAACTATATTCAAGTGTAGCTGATAGATTGCCATATTACGTAGTCGCCCCATGTGTCCCTCTCCAATCGTTCTACTAACTGAAATAGAAAGAACTATCTTACAAGGTTACTTACCTATTATAGCTACGATAATGACGATTAAGAACAAAGCATCACCGATTCGGACATACAAACAAATCAATATTAGAAATACGGTGTCGATGATTGCCCGGCAGATACCGGTTATAAGGTAGGGAATAACCAACCTTTTATCCGGCTAAATGAATTTGAAATCGGAATTAGAACACTAGAGTTAGACATAAAAGCTCGTGACGACAAACTTCTTACCTTAAACACGGAAACTATGACGCAAACGCAGGCAACGATATGCGCCACGTGGATAACAAGAGCTAAAAACCAAACAATGCGGGCACCACCAGTATAACCTAAGAGGTTTTGACAAGGGGTTAACAAGGTCTTACCGCCTCATACTTAATAGTAACGAGCAATGCTTACCTGATCCGTTTCCACCGCCAAGGCACAACGTTAGTATAATGTCCACGATACCGACCGTTAGAACTCCCCACTTCAGCTCGCAGCAGCAGCAATCTCTAAAAACGGGTAGCCCCATTTTGTTTCTATGAAACTATATTTTTCCGTTCGAAGTGATGTGATATTGAAGTATGTGAAGTTACTGAAATATGAAGGCTAAAATGATTTGACATTTCCGAAATTTCAAACTTAGAAAAGATTGGAAGAAAATGGCATACCATGACACGACAGTTAGATAAAAATATGTGGCGGGAACGCAGATAAAATGATAATTATAACGAAAGGTATAAAATAAACGATTCCATTACCTTTCGTATGTCCTTGCAGTATGCTAGTGGATCATTTCTTTTCGGTTAATTGAGATAAGATTAAGATTTATTTGTCAATGTCTTGCTAATACTACAAGTTTTAAATTTATGAGTTAGTGCGCTAGGCACAATAGTTTAATATATTCATATTTTACCGAAAAATTACAAGATGTTAATACTTTTTAATAATATATATGTATATAAATTCTCCATTAAAAAGGATCCAAGAGTGAGTCGCCCTAGAACTGAAAAAACTTTGCTTTAAAATAAGGAAAGAAACTTACTTAAATCATTTTTCTGATAACCGAATGGCAGGTCAAAGCAAAAACCGAAATTAAAAGAAATTATTACTTATTTCAATTAAGCCAAGGTTTTAATTTGTGGGAAAATGTCGAATAAGACGAAGAAAACCGGAGGCGGCAACGGAGGCAATGGAGCCGCCACAAAACAAACCCGCCAGCAGTCACAGGGCTCGCAGGACTACAGCTCCTTCAAGACCGTGCTCTTCTACTGCATGCTCATCGTGTTCCTGCCCGTGCTGACTTTCTTTGTCCTCAAGGGATTTGTTCTCGACCAATTCTTCAATATCTCCGAAGTCAAAGTGAACATAGCAGCTGCCGTGGGTGCTGTCGTATCGCTGCACATCGCCCTGGGACTGTATATCTACCGGGCATACTTCGGAACATCCGGCTCCAAGGCTGTCAAGGCGGACTAATCCTCATCTACCGGACTGTTTGTTTTCCCATTTCCATTAATTATAAGTCGGAAAAGCACTCTTGTACATACATAGTACAAATAATTGCGGTTGTTTACATGTCAGCGAGGGAGGAGAAAGTCGTCGCGCCTGTGTAACCATTTGTAATCGTTTTCCATTGCATAAGTTTCGATAACATCGTGTGGAAAACGTGTGTTGTCTAGTGTTTTGTGTGCTTAGTTTATATTAAAAAAAAAAAGAAAAGATATCGCCTTATCCACAAGGCTCATCCATTTTTATACCCTTGCAGGGTATTATAATTTCAGTCAGAAGTTTGCAACGCAGTGAAAGAGATCTTTACGACCCTATAAAGTATACATATATATTCTTGATCAGCATCAACAGCCGAGTCCATCTATGCATGTCCGTCTGTTCGTCCGTCTGTCCGTTTCTACACAAACTACTCGCTCAGTTATATATCGGAACGGGCGGAATCAGACGACTATATCGTAAAGCTGCCATACAAATGTTCGATAAATTTTTAGAAAAAAAATTATAACTTGGCTGTTTTCAACATTTTTGCACCATTTTCGAAATATGACCAGTTTATATTATTTCAGATCAGAAATCGGACGACTATATCTTATAGCCGCCATAGGATCGATCGGGAAATGTAGAGAATGTAAAGCTGGGAATGTAAAACTGTAACTGTCAAACTGTAAACATAATAAGTATGGGTAAAATGTTATGAAACTCTGTTTTGTGTGTTCTTTCAGAATTTTATTTATGCTATGTATGAATATATAACTTGTATATATTTTCTTTTATTTTTTTTTTCTAATTATTTAACCAGAATGGCTCGATTCTTAAATGACTTCGACCTCCTGATCTAGCATTCAATCGGATAGGCGAATGGTGTTCATAATCCGGCTCAGTCCTTTCGGTTGAAAAATGCGAAATCCTCTACATCCGCCGCAAACACAATTACAAAGCTTAAATAATTTCAGGAAACTCAAACATGAAAAATAAAAAATCCAAGGCTTTACAATCAACGACAGATACAATTAAAAATTCCATACAAAGAAATTACAATCCGATCTAGCCTAGCCACGGGGCAACACCGACAAAACGACCCCAATCCAAATCGTCAAATTCGTTATTATTTTAAAAATAGAATTCTGTCTTCCCAAATCCCAACTTAATCGCCTAAAAACCTCTCCCTGCTAGTATACCGCTCCACACCGATAAACAACGGGCAGAAGGCAATAAAACACAACAAAAACTTTCTTACTGGCAAACTTACTAAAACCTCGATCAGGCTAAGGATATCCCGCTTCAAACCTTCAAAAAGGACCTATAGATATCCCAGTATAATAGATCAAATGGTCAAAATATCCCTACAGCTCTGTATGTGACGATTGGACATGCCTGAACTAAAACCACCGGGAGTACCCAAGTAATCCCTTGACTAACCCTATAGAATACTCCTATATATGAAAAAATCGATGAAATGGAGATAATATATATTATTATTAATATTGTTATTAATATCACTTCAATTATTACTATTATATAAAGTGAAAATAAATGACGAACGATTGATTCATTTTTGTTTTGGTTTTGATACAATTTGAAAAACCTAATTTTTTAATTGTATTATTTCAGAATTTGAAAAACCTAATTTTTTAATTGTATTATTTCAGCTATATTGTCTAGCGGTCATAGGAAGAATCAGGAAATAAACTAAAAATGTTAACCTCGTTGTATTCAACATAATTTCATCTACTCTAAAAATCGGACGACACAATGGTTACACCATAGGAACGATCGGTAGATGTACAGAAAAATGTAAGGATAATGTAATATGTATAGGTAAATGTAATGAAAGTTGATATTACTTTGTTTTTGTTTAGCATATTTATTTATTTGTATGTAATTTATATGAATCTCATCATCATCTGCCAGAACCCTTTGCCTAACGATGTAATCCATAAATACTCTCATATTTTGATTGCATACTGTATGAATGTCAGGTCGATAGCTGGGTTTTGGTCCTGGCAGCAACAGATTCGAAATTTCTGGCACGTGAAAGTGATGAATAATTTCGGGCGTTCGCAATGCCGTATGTTCGTTATCGCATCTTGAGCGCTCGCATGCTATGGCTGTGGTCCTTCAGTGGCAATGGCATCGCGCAGGTGTATGAATTTGTCTGATTGTAAGTTACATTGATTGAAACAAATGTCGACACAATCCTGTTGAAACAAAACAAATGATTGTCAACATTTTTCCAAATCAAATCTATAAAATTATTATACAAAATTATTCGTTTCTTCTCCTGAAACATAAGTTCAAACTTATTAGCTTGCGAAAAATAAATTATGACTTGTAAACAAATCTGTCGTCGGACTGACTGATTATATTTTTATACCCTTGCAGGGTATTATAATTTCAGTCAGAAGTTTGCAACGCAGTGAAGGAGACGTTTCCGACCCTATAAAGTATATATATTCTTGATCAGCATCAACAGCCGAGTCGATCTAGCCATGTCCGTCTGTCCGTCCGTCCGTCTGTCCGTTTCTACGCAAACTAGTCCCTCAGTTTTGAAGCTATCTGAATGAAACTTTGCATATAGTCTTCTATATACTCTCACTGCTATATATGTCGGAACGGACGACTATATCATATAGCTGCCATACAAATGTTCGATAAATTTTTAGAAAAAAAATTCAAACTTCGCTTTTTTTTTTTTTTAATTTTTGCACCATTTTTGGAATATGGTAAAATTTTTTTTGGAATTTTGGTAAAAATTTTATGAAAATCGGACAACTATATCATATAGCTGCCATAGGAGCGATCGGTAGATGTAGAGAAAATGTAAGGCTGTGAATGTAAAACTGTAACTGTCAAACTGTAAACATAATAAGTATAGGTAAAATGTAATGAAACTCTGTTTTTCTAATGTGTTTTCAGCATTTAAATCTATAATATAAACATCAAAAATCAATCTGCAAGGGTATACAAACTTCGGCGTGCCGAAGTTAGCTTCCTTTCTGGTTTATTATTGTGACAGCCATCTTCTCCACGACAGAAGATCAATGGGTATCGATCATATGATCGATGGCTCCATTATCCCGACGTTTGAGAATAATACCCCGTGAATCCACATTTTCGCCAACAATTACCACTGCCACTTCATTGATTGAGGGAGCATTGAAGTGTTTTGCATGGCTGCTCTGCTCTGATAATGATTTTGTGGTCGTCGGAATACATTGCATCTAATTCATTATAATCATTAAGAAGAATTTGGAGTTGCTCGATAATTAGACGTCTAGTTTCAGTAATAATTTTACTGTTGAATCACCAACAAAATAGGTCTGAAGGAACCTGAGATCTTTATTAGTTGGTGGTAATAAAGAGCTAGCACGAGGGTAAACTTGCAATTTTGCCTTGCCAGCGTACATAATCCATTAGATTCCAAGGGAAACTTTACTGCATTGCAATATTGACACACTGCAGATAATGAACCAATCACAACGCAGATCCTCGTAGGCGTAGAATCATAATCGAATCCAGCGCGATTCAAGTCTACAACTTATCTTCTATTAAATCTTTGTCCTTTCTCAGGAATAGTTTCTGCAGTAGGTTTGTAGTTTTTGCGTATTCTGTATTTTGTGCAATGCGTGATCGCCTAATAGCAGGCATTATTCAAACGAACACCTCTCACAAAACTCACCTTTTTATTTTTGCGTAATTTGAATTCTTCAAACAACAACTCCCGCAAAGCTTACTTTTGTAATTTTGCGCTTTTAACGGGCTTTTAACATCTGTTGAGAAATTATAGGATTTTCGCCTGGCAATTTAAAACAATTAAGAAAATCGGTTGAGCAGTTTACATCTGATATGCGTATTAAAAATGTAGATTTATAATGGAGATTTATATAATATCGAATACTTCAAATCTAAAATATAGTTTTTTTATACGACTTAAATAATGTTTTTTTAAATTTTATTAAAGCCAAATAATGATATGGTATGAATAAGAATACATAAATCTGCTAGAAGTTTTTGATCGATTCTCAACGCTCCAATATAGAAATTTCGGCGTGCTGAAGATAGCCATAGAAGCCAATCCTACAAATACAAACTCCCAAAATATTCTCAAGTTCCTAAACAGCTTTCAAATCAGTTACAAAATACGACCGATCCACTATCTCGTATTTGAAAACAACTTACTTAAATCTCTTGTAAATATCAAACCATTTTAAATAAAGCTTAAACTGCTATGGCCCTTCACACTACGTTAGCTTTTTGTAACAAATTGTTATCGTTAGATAACTAAATAAAATAAATAAAGAAAATATAAATATTTTTAATTCGAATAAGTCGAATTATGTCATATACATAGCTACCATAAAAATCAGTTTAATTTATTTGTGCAAGAGACTAAAAATTCAGAAAAAGCGTCCTTATTCATTATTATTAGTTTATCTCAATTAACCGAAATAAAATGATCCTCTTGCATACTGCCAGGATATACGAACTTCGGCGTCCCTGAGCTAGCTACCATATGTACATATATAATATTGGTTGAGTCAAATCGAAACAGAATTTATTTTAATACCAAAGGTAATGGAATCGTTTATTTTATACCTTTCGTTATAATTATCATTTTATCTGCGTTCCCGCCAAATATTTTTATCTAACTGTCGTGTCATGGTATGCCATTTTCTTCCAATCTTTTCTAAGTTTGAAATTTCGGAAATGTCAAATCATTTTAGCCTTCATATTTCAGTAACTTCACATACTTCAATATCACATCACTTCGAACGGAAAAAGATAGTTTCACAGAAACAAAATGGGGCTACCCGTTTTTAGAGATTGCTGCTGCTGCGAGCTGAAGTGGGGAGTTCTAACTGTCGGTATCGTGGACATTATACTAACGTTGTGCCTTGGCGGTGGAAACGGATCAGGTAAGCATTGCTCGTTACTATTAAGTATGAGGCGGTAAGACCTTGTTAACCCCTTGTCAAAACCTCTTAGGTTATACTGGTGCTGCCCGCATTGTTTGGTTTTTAGCTCTTGTTATCCACGTGGCGCATATCGTTGCCTGCGTTTGCGTTATAGTTTCCGTGTTTAAGGTAAGAAGTTTGTCGTCACGAGCTTTTATGACTAATTCTAGTGTTCTAATTCCGATTTCAAATTCATTTAGCCGGATAAAAGATTAGTTATTCCCTACCTTATAACTGGTATCTGCCGGGCAATCATC